CCTCTTTTGACTCAACAGGAACGCGTGTTTTCCCACACATGCTTTAGACACCAAACATGTTCTCACAACTGTTCTTTGAGATGATAACAGAGATCAGCGCACCTCTTTCTGTTGTTGGTGTACAACCACCACATCGCAGGAAACATGGTGGCATGACTGAGCAGCCTCTATAAAAGATAAAGACTGTTTTGTAAGAACAGAGGTATCCAACATCGCTGCCCGGCCCATGCTGTGTGACACCGGCCACAGGGTAGAACCAGGTCTCATTCACACATCCACTGCAAACAATTAGGCTTCACTCACGCTGCCACATCAAATAGCTGCATAAAAACACTAATGATTGCATGTCCTGCTGTTGGGATTTTTGTCTACATGACACACATCTAAACCTGCAGAGGTTAAACCTTACTGCCAGATGTTTGAGATTGCACCCTGATTTCAATATTACAAACAATCACTGGCTCCTCTGCAGCACAGAGGTGCAGCAGTTAAGCCTCACTGTAATGGAACTTTGTGTGGGATGAGAGCTCATCGACGTTGGCTCCCACAAAAGGTCCACATGAAAATGCTTTTGCAATGTCATATCTCGGAGAACAGGCGCAGTTATCCAGACGACTACAGCAGTGGACTGTGCAGCAGATCAAAGAGGCAGGCCTGGGGCGCATTATATCCAATTTCATTTCGAGTTGAGGCCCTTCATTCATTTCTGACATTTACAGTTGGATCGGTGTGCCCCTTTTTCGAGGCCTCTTGGCTCTCGGTCTGCACTGAGGCCCCACCAGCCTCTCTTGGAAAAATCCGGTGCATCTGACTTGCATTGCCTAGCTCCACTTGTGTGTTCTGTTTGGCCCGTGCCGCAGGAGGAGGAAAGCGGGCCAATTACCAGCTGCCTCTCCGAGACCAATATGATGTCATCCTCCCGCTCCGCCATAACAGGCTGCAGATGAGAGGGGCCGGGCCTCTCAGCAGCCTTATTCACTTAACGAAAAGCAGGAAAGCATAAAAGAAAAAAGAAAAAAATGAAAATGGTATTGAATGTCCCTCAACATTAACATTTTTCTTCATCTCAACTCACTTATTATCCATTAAAGTAGCCCATAATGCATCACAGCCTGTTAGGAGTGCAACAGACTGGAGATAAAGAAGATAAGAGCACCTTGTTTGAATAACACTGATAACAGCCCATGTGAAAGCAGTGGTATTGCCATTGTGCTTTGAAGCCTGTGCATTTCACAGAGGTGAGGCGGAAGTGAGGTTTCAGAGACAGAACCTATTTGTTATCAACACGCCCTACCCGTCAGAAAAATCACCTGCGTGATATAGTCTGCTGTGACCTTTTTCATTTTGAAGCGGCACTCCCTCGTTCTTTGGAAAAGCCACAATCAGCCAACTGTGTCCTCACAAATCAAAGGAGAGAGTTTGACAGGTACGCAGGCAGAAAAGACACTTCGATACTCTAAGATACAAGCCCATGTACTCATTCACTCGAAAACACACGCTCGCAAAACTCTGGAGACTACTTAAGTGCTATCCCAGAAGGCCTTGCATTTTCTAGGAAGTCTTGAAGCCACATCAGAGAATCTGAAGGGGCCTGTGGGCTGCAACAGATCTCCTCTCATTTCCCCACATACTCCATCTCCAACACCCTACAACCACACGCTACGTGTAGACTCTGGAGAGCCGGAGCCAATAGCAGGCCACAGCTCAGAGTATAAACAAATGGCAGCCTTAACTGTTTACGTGTGCTCCGCTGTGATTTTATCTACATGAGAAATAATCAAGTCAAACAATACCGTTAAGGAAAAAGGTTTATCGACAACTGCCCAAAGTCATTCATGTGTGGAGACGGACATTGTTTACAGGTAAAGAAAGCTGCGAGTCGTGAAATGTGGATATTGCAGGATTATTTACTGATGCTATTCATGCTGACAATACGCAGGAAGTCTTCCTGCATGCTGTTGTGATCTGTGGTTACGTAGTTAGGGAAATACAAACCACTGCTGTTAGCATTATTTTAGCTGTGTATACATTCAGAAAGGCCAGTTTTAGTCTGTGTGGGTTATACGATGATGAGAGCGGAGGAAGAGTTTTATTTCCAAATTCAATACATCAGTTTTGATTGGAGGCTACAGCCGAGGCTGTACTTAGGCACAAAGTTACTGTGAGCTAACATCAACATGCTAACATGCTCACAATAACATGTTGATGTTGAGCAGGTATAATGTTTCCCATGTTAATTAAGCATCTTATTTAGAGACTGATTTAGTTGTGCAGGTATTCAGACATAAACCAAAGAACTGGAGCAATGGCAATTTTAACCTGATGATGAAAATGGGTCATCAAAGTGATTACAATTCATCCTGACGGGGACATGAATGTCTGTACCAAATGTCATGGCAATCCATCAAATAGTTGTTTAGATATTTCAGTCTGAACCAAAGCGATGGATTGACCGACCAACCTTGCCATTCTTTTAAATAATTACCTGTCGTCTTTGATCATTAAATCCCACTAATATAGAAAAGAGTTTGGCCTGCAAAAGTGTCAACAAACAGCTTAAAGTTCCTACATTTCCCTCATCTCCAAGCCCCTTCTCTCCCCCGTAGCTGAAGATGCATTATCAGGAATATCTGTTGGTTATTTGTTGTGGGAGAGTGAAAAAGGCTTTGACATTAAATTCCACACTAAATCTTCACAAGCCGAGGTTCAGATACGACTCAGGGGAGGGTGGGGTAGCAGCGAGGTCAGGCGCTTCACCTCAGCATGAGGCGGTGAAAGAATTTACTTCATACCTTTTACAAATGAAAAAGCTATCAGTGTAATAATTTACGATTAATGAATGATAAGAGAGGCTGTTTATTATCAGCTGAGTGGCAACGACCATGTAATCGCAATGTCCACAACTGGGGATCTTTATGGCAATGTGTCAAAACAGGACCTCCCAAAGGGCCTGCTAACACATTTAAAGGGCTCCGCAGATGATGATGATGATGCCAAACTGTTTGCTTTTTTTGCATTAAGGGTCCATCTCTTTCTGTCGCTATTGAATAAATGGAAATAATGCAGAAAAATGTGCAGTGGAGATGGTCAGGTTTGAGACGATACGAATGGAGCTTCCACCCAGACATCCAATCAGAGTCGTACCAATCATGCCAGCAGAATGGATGACCTGACTGTCTGTAAACATGATAAATGACTGCAGTCATCCAGTGGCCTACCATCCTCTCTCATGAGGGCGGACTCCTCTCTGTAAGAAGACCTCAACCTTGTCAATTCGTCTTTGGGTCCACGCCATAGAGACTGTGTGAGCTATGCCCCGCATCGCATTCCTCTGCCATCCAACCTCTGTCCTGCCTGGACTTTCCCACAGAACCCTAAACCCTGTGAATGAGAGTAGGCCTTTGTTTCAGGCATTTTTCATCCTGATCCCAGCAACTTCCCCATGGTGGAATGCAACAGGAATGCCAGAGCCAGCTACCTGGCATTAGAGAGTCTTTGTGCGGAAATAGGAGAGGCCGAAGGAGAGAGCAGGTCAAAGATGCTTGACAATGGATAGCTCACTTCTCAAGGTGCCCAGCCCATACTGCAGAGCGAGTGAACAGCAGAACCCGGGTCAAGTCTCCAAAACATGACACGGTGCAACAAGGAGAAGAGAAAAAAAACGGCATCATTTGCAACCAGGCCAGTTTCGTTATGAGCTCTTCCCCTGTCAGCATTTCCTCCTACTGTTCAAATAATTAACTGGAGCGCTGATCTAACAACTGATTGGCATGCATGCACAAGCACAGCAGAAATGGGTGTCTGCAACAGTTAACAGGTTGTTATGAGCTTATCACTGGCTGAGAGCTGGACCGGTGAGGCAGCGGTTTGCCTCAAGGTGCAATTCCATTCATTCTTGTATAGTGAGAGACCAGAGGAGGAGGATTTTAATTTGAGGAAAGCCGTGTGAAGATAAGGATTCCTTATGATACTATCTGATGACGTTTGATCCCAACAGGTCACAACAAGAGTTAATTTGAGTGACTTTCAATTGTGATTCTGCAGCACAGCATGTGCAGAATAACAGCATATCGCATCGTAAATGTTGTGGAGGTGCAGAAACATGGTGGCGTACATGTCAGAGCAGGAGCTTTGAGAGACGGTTACCTGGGCCCCGTCAGTAAAGCCATTTCACCTGTAACCCGAGCAGCCGGGCTTCCGAGACGACAGCTGATCTTCTGTGGATCCTGAGTCTGATGATAAGGAGCTGAGATAAGACGCTAACTGAAGGGTAACGACAGAGCTATGAAGACAAGGGTGGGGCGTCAGGTCATATGTCCCCGCATGTCATGACCACAATTACCGAGGGGGGCCTCCGCTCACCTCCTGTGAGAACCAACATCTGTAACATGCCGCCAACTCCGCTCGGTTGGAAGTCCAGTTCAGAACAAATATAAATAACCTGAAATATAACTGATATCGAAAACGTATCATTAGCTACTAAATGCTACTGTCACTTTTGAGCCGACCAAAATGAAAGTGAATCATTTGGTCCAAACCAAACCAGATTTCAACCGCACTTTTTCTTTTCAGTTCAGTTATAGCAGTTTGCCTGTTCGACATCCCTTTTTTCCTCGAAAACTCAGCAGATGTTGAATTTATTGCGCTCAGACTGCCAAGAATCTCGGGGAGGACAACTGAACACGTAAAGAGAGGCAAACGTTGTGTTCACCAGACTCCCCTTCTCCCACCAGAGAGGAGATTATTTGAACTCACTGGGGAAAGATAAGGCTTCTTTCCTCAACACGGCCGCTCATACTACAAATTCCAGTGAAATCGCCACAGTATATCACAGACCGTTGTGTGTGTTAACACCTAAAGCTAAGAAACACCGCTACGACATAAATATAAGCCAACGGTAGCCTTTTTGAAATTAGAGGTGAGTGTCACAGGTCACAAATCAAAGCACATCACAGGCAAACTTTCTAAGATGACAATAATTAGGAATTTGGGTCATTTGAATTATGCAGGATTTTATTTTTATCAAGAAATATGCAGATACATTTTCAGCTCTTTGCTCCTTTATCTGATTTCCCTTTGTTTTGATATATAAGAGGACATATTTAAGTCATGCAGCAGACATTCACTATTTACAAAAAGCAGATTTCACTATGATCACTTGGCCTGGACTTTGGACACAGAAAGAGCGAAAGAGAATCATTTCCTATTTGAAATGTCTGTATGTAACCAAAGGATGGCTGTGTGTGCTCAGCTGCTTTGCCACCCCTGAGGGATGTAGAGATATGCTGTGAGATTAGGTTGTATAGGATAAGAGCAGATGGGGGGCAGTAAGAAAGGGTCTTGGTTTGGAAAATATGGGGGAAACATCTTCCCTTACACAGTCATCTCATAGGGGAGCATTCCTGCAAATACGCCAACAAGACCAGTCACCATTACAATCTCTGTCATGAGCAGAAAAGGGGAACTGTGTACAGACATTGCATGAATGAGTTGACTTCCTTTTTAAGGCTGTAAAAACAAAACCAGAAGATGAATACAGTAAATTCTGAATGAAAATGGTAGCTGCACTTCCCTACAAAGCCAAAAAGCAACCAGAAGAATCATGCCATCGGTTGCGTGCGTCCGTGACTGAGTGAGTGTCCATGGCTAATCTCGCATTCTGCTGCAGCAAACTGCATAATATTTTGGTTGCCCAGTTATGGCTGCATGCTCAAGGACCTCTCGTGGTTGCTGTGACCGACACTTTCTTGAAACACCTTTTATTGCCTGTTTTATACTGCCATTGACTGCCAACCTACTCCTCTCAGGGGCCACTAGTGATAACACAGCTGAGTGCATCTCAGACCCCCCATCCACTACTCTACGCCCACAGTGAGGGATAACAGTTTGCAGTTTGTTTGGCTAACAGCTAACGGGACTACCAGTACTGCTGCAGACGCACCTAGCGGGCATCTGCACTCTTTTGAGTTCACCTTTTTGTTTTATCATACAAAGAATTTTCATGTATGGAACTATACTGCTGCAAGGCCATGAAAACCAAAACAGATCTGCATCACGTTACAATGTGAAAAGTTCATTGTTATAAAGTGATGTTTTTCACTTTATTACGACATGGAAACGTATGATGCGATAAACTAGTCTATAATTGACCTAACATGAAGCTCGTGTTTGAATAGCTGTGAACAGAGAACAGATAAATTGAGGAATGTGGCTCATTTACATGGTTTGATTTTTCATGCATGGGTTGAGACATGTCATGAAACATTATCACAAGATAAACAGCACATACGTATACACTTGAATGAATTCCATGAAAGTAACATGTACAATTGCAGCAACTACAAAACAGAGTTGTGTACTACAAGTATAAGGTATAGTGTGTTGACTTTAATATAGATATAGTAGATGGACAGACACAAACCTAGTGCCGTTTCTTATACCTTATGGTCTAGTTAAAATGGACAAGCTTGCTGAAAAAGGACATGTTGGTAGATATCCTCCCCTTGCATGTCATGTAGGTTATCCACATATAAAGTAAAGTATGTGCATTATTAGGTATATTTTGGGCTCCTGAATTAACCTTAAATACCTCAATGTTAAAACTAATCGACAGCCATGTTCTTTGCATTTGAATTATTGTGTGGTAGAACATTATGAGGGCTGTTCTTTGACAAATGACATGAAATGACATATTGGTGGTTAATAACATCAAATAGAAAAGAGGAGGGCTGGAATACTTGCTGTCTGGCTGTCACTTGTGAAAAAATTCAAGTCAGGCACAAGCACTTATCTAAGGCAGGGAAATCCTCCACACAAGAAAGGGAACATTTTTAGAGTTCTCAAATAGCCAAATTCCATTTTCTTCTCGATGCATCACTGGTGTGCTCACCTAGTAACTGGTAAACACACATCAACAATGGCAAAGAAGCATTAATGAATCTTCTCCAAAAAAAACAGTTTATGTGTTGCCACACTGCAAAGCCTGAGAAATATCATTAAAGCATACTTGCCCACTGGGACTACATTCACACCATATATCTGCCTCAGTATACTGATTTATTGTGCCAATCACTATCACTGCTGGCAAGATGATGTGCCAAACCAATAGAGCACTAGGTGTCCTTGGCTGACTGGCTAAGACCTGATCGAGATAAAGAGCTAAAAACTAAATTACAGAGATTATGATCTGCCATAAAGTGTCTGAGTAACAGCATCCACGGGCCAGAGCTCACCTGCAAACAATAGAGACACGTGGTGGGAAAGAAGCGAAGACGTCCAGACATTCAGTCGGACTTTATTCGTGTGGCCTCGGGACGTGCTGCCCATATCATGATGTTGTTCGTGTCTGTGTTGTGATCAAAGTCAGGGCGGTATAAGACAGGTATTCGTCTAACTTGACACATGGTCATACAACATTAATTATTAATCAAAACCCTACAAAGACAAGAATCAGTTCTTTGATGTTTCTTCAAACATTTCAGTCGGCCTACTTGGGGATGCATATCGCAAATGTGCCTTTTATACAATCACTGAGTAGTATTAGGTAGTGGAAGGTAACTAATTCACTTCATACAACATGTCAGACTGAAACCTGAAAGCTTAAGTAAAAAGTTTGCAGATTCAGATAGTCAACAAATAAAACATGATGCAGGACATAGACTAAACTACTCAACAGTATATAAAATTAGCTTGACTAGCTAAAGCATTAAAATGCTGCCGACACAGTAATAATGATAATCTGACATAATCTGCTTGTAGCATCTTTTATTAAATGATCTGAGCATGTATTCCACAACTAGAAGATAATGCATTATATTGCATGTAAATCCATCCAAGCACCCGCTAATCTCAGTGTTTGTTATCATGTAAAGTTGCTTTTTCTCAGTATACGTCAACGGGCTTATTAATGTCAGCTTCTTGCTTATACAAGTCAAAAGATCAGATGAGATCTCAGTGCTACTCTGACTCAAATCTAGACACATAAGCATCTAGCCTGGTCTTTGGTGCAAATGTGGGAAGAAGATACCCCCTATATACAGAAAGTTCGGCCTGTGCCTCAAGACAGCGAGATGACTAAGCATGAGGCCTGCTGCCTGTGGCACCGTGCAGACATGTTCCATTCTGTCAGAGCTCTGCAGCACATCGGTACCGTTTCACACGGTCCCCCGACTCTTGGCGAAGCGAATGGGAACTTTAGTGGCTCTGCTGACAGCCTATTCCAAGCATTTGAGCACTGTGGTTTTAACGGCGACATTTAACCTCTTTTTACATACAGAACAGGCTTTTCATTTTGTGCGCGTTAGAGCGCATTCATTTTGAACACAGGTGGAGATGTGCTGGTGTTGATGCATCAATAAGAGTAATAAACATTAAGGTGCGTCATTCCAAATCAGGTTTTGTACCTCATATTAAAGGTTCTGCAGGTAGTGAAAAAAAAGCAATACATAAGATAACAGATTTTTTTTGGTGTTGTTTTTGGCAGCCCAAATGAGAAAAGTGTCAGGAAAATTAACACTGAGTCCAATAGCAGGTATTTCCCCCCAAACAGTGAATATCTAAGCTAAGCATTCTTCTCAAACCATGCCCCCCCCCCCCCCCCCCCCACTGAGTGTGTTCAGTGTGTGTGTGGTCTGAGGTTGGAAAACCCATCAGTGTATTGAGTCTTTGTCACCACCTGTTGGTGTTTGTCAGACATTACTGTGCTGAAGTACAATCTGAATGAGCTCCGAAAAATCATTAAATATACGGCCACACACCATGTACAATACAATTTTAAAAATACAGTAAATTAAGCAAATAAATGTTTATGTTCCTATAAATTCCTATAGATATAATATTGCACCACAACCTCGGGTATAAATCATCTGCGTCCATCCACTCAGCCAGAGAGTTCAGGCTGTTGTCCTTTCTCTTTCGAACCTCTTCTGTACATTAACATGTATGCTGTGTGTCTGTAGAAATAACAGCAATAAACGGTTTGCAGACTGAAATGTACAAAGCAAAGTTATGCTTCTACGAGTTAAGGCAGAAAATGTATGAAAGGAACACATTTCAGTACAATAAAAACAAACAAACATTTGCTAAAAGCTGCTGAAAGACAAGACAACCTGATAGACTAGACGGATGTCCTCTGTTTATGAGTTTAAAAAGTTTAAAAGCCCTTTAGTCTTTAATCTTCAATGAGGAAAAGACAATGAGGCTTTGTCTAAAGATCTGAAGCCATTTCCGCAAGTAAAAAGATAAAAGTTGCTTGATGGCAGCGGGAGTCAAGAATGTAAGGCTTTAATTGTTATTAATACAAATTTGAAAAACTGTGAAAGCAACTGGAGGCCGGGACAGAACCCTGAGGCACTCCACGGTCACGCTAAGCCAGGGAGGAGGAAGAACTCATCTTAGCGAATTTAGCTAACATAGCTTAGCATAAAGACAGAGCCAGACTATCCTTTTGCAGCGTCATGTTTACCATTCAAATATAAGAGCGGTATTAATCTTCTCATCTATAGCTAAGACTCTTCCCATAAGAAGAGCAAGACATGAAAAACTTATGTTGAGCAATTACCTTCTATGTCCTCCATATGTGCTCTTCACATCTTCCCAGGAGACCTATGTGTTGGAAATCAGAGACCAAATGAGTCACACATTTGCAGAAAGCTGTATTACAGTTATACAAAAATCCCTCTTGAACAAGTGGAGATTTAAAACTATTTTTCCCCTTTCCTTAATGGTTTTAGGGAGCAACCACAAAACAATTTCAGATACAACATTTCATATCATGTGCTTTTTATACTTTTAACTTATACTTAAGGTACAGTGTGTAGCATTAAGCGGTATCTATTGGCAGAAATGGAATATAATAGTATTAAGTAGGTTATCTTTAGTGTATTATCAGAATGAGGTGTTTATATCTACATATAGAGCGGGTCCTCTTCACGGATTCATGTTTCTACAGTAGCTCAGAACGGACAAACCAAACACTGGCTCTAGATAGGGCCATTCACTATTTCACATCAGCCACCGTAGTTCTCCTACACGCTTTGCACACAGGTTTGCAATCTGCAACCTCGCCACTAGATGCCGCCAGATCCTACACACTGAACCTTAAAGATATGCTGTATTTATTTAAAATCTACATGAGAGCTTTCATGTCTAACTATACATTGAGGTTTTAACATGAAGTGAGAAATATAGATTTTTTATAATATTTAACAAGTACAAGCCAGAAATCAATTGCATTCAAGTGAGACAGATTTTGTCAGATCGGACGTACCAGTCCTACGTGGCTGTCGTCGGCATAGTACCAGCGCTGGTTCACCCTGTCACGAACGTAGGCAGTATAGTGACCACACGTTGCAGATCCAGAGTGCACTACCACTGCATGCAATGTGTACCTGCAGTCATTCTGGAAGAACAAATAAAGTTGTGGATGGCAAAAGATATAATGTGTAGATATTATTATAATCATTTTCATTTCAAGTACCTCAGCAAAGTCTGACGAGAACGCTTCTTTGAGGGTTTCAGCGAAGTCAAAGGTTTCGGGAAAGGTAACCCTGCAATCAAGTTTTCTGGTGTAACCACCGTAATTCCGAAACCTTTTCAGGTGCACGCACAAGATAGGAGGCAGGGAGAGCAGTTTGACAGCCTGAGAAAGAAAAAAAGATGTTTCCACTGTGGTGGTTCATACTTTCTGGGAAGCATTTAACTCGAACCTCACCTGTTTAGATGGAGTCTTCTTCTCACATGTTGCACAAAAGCAGCAATTTATGCCCCTTAGCTCCTGATGCTGAAAGAAGGAGCTCATGCAGCCTTCCTGAAAAAGTTCATGTACATAATACGTTTTAGTTTGACTTCAGGAAGGGTAACAGTAACAGTTTGACATATTGAGAAATTAGTCTATTTGCTTTCTTGACGAGAGTTAAAGATTGAGACCACTCTCACGCACCCCTGATGCCCAATAATTGACAGATCATTAGGTTATAGGTTATATTCTGGGCTATTTCTTAGAAACTGCCCCTGGCCGACAAATAATCTAGTGCATAACCCCCCTATATGCTTTGCATACAAGTACTGGGAACACATTTTAAAAATCACCTACCAGCACCTCAAAATCTCACAATTTAATGTGTTGTATCTTGTGTTTGATCTGTACAAAAACAGTCAAACATTGTGTGCAGTTACTGTATGTGCAAGACAATTTCTTCGTGTAGGCTTGTCGTTCCTGTAAAACCACAAATTGTTAGTTTTTCTCTTCCGTGTTTGTATGAATTAAATAAGACATTTGATTAGTCTGCATAAGAGGTGCTGAAAAGTGGATTTTGCAAAATGTGTTTCCCTCTGTTTCCAGTACTTATGCTAAGCTAAGCGGCTGAAAGCTGTAGCTTCAAAGTTTACGTACAGACACTAGAGTGGTGTTGATCTTCTCATCTAATTTTGGTTAAACAGACAATTATATAATGATATATTTCCCAAAAAGTTTAAATATTTCTTAAAAACAATCCACATCAAAAGAAAAAAGAAACGGCACCAGAGAATCGTGATCTTCCTTTACGTGCAGAGGCAGGCTGAGCATGTAGCTGGTCAGAGTCTGGACGGCGGTACAGTCTAAACACTCCACGTACGTCTCCACAGAAATCTTGAACAGATTCTGGATTTGAAGAGCCTGGCAGAGAAAACAAATGCAAGCACATTATGGATGATGCACATACAGGTGGAAAAATAACGAATATTCATGATTAAAGACCAACCAGAGGTTTGTCATCCATCTGCAGTTGCATCAAGTTCAAGATAGCGAGGAAGACCTCATCAGCATCATGCTGCATATAAACTGCAAAACATTGTCAAAAGTTGTAAGATACACCACAACGGTATTAAACATTTTGCAAGCTTGTTTTTTCCTTACGTCTAACGCAGTTGCTATCCAGAGAGTGGAGGAAGTCCCGATGAGGAGCCGGGTGAGGACGGTCGCTCTTCATGGCCGTGAGAACTCTCTTTAGCTGCAGGGGGACGTTACGACCGCCCGCTCTCACACCAGCTGCTTCCCACCTTGTGCAATTCATAAACCTTAATTCATCTTCTTTTTTTTTTTGTACCTGAGAAAAGCAGTCTTGAATTCAGATCGACACATGTGCACTCCCCTCTTTACTTCTCAAGGTTGCTGTCATTTTATAAGTCTGTATATTTATCGTGAAGTATTACAGTACATTCTTCATTGTACTGTTGATATACAGTTGAGGACACATAACAACCAGTTATCTATCCCTCCAATGAAAAATAGTAGTATTGCCCTGTTACTGATGTTCATGGTAATAATTTACAAGTTAATATAAACATTAACCAGACTTAATGTGTTATTAGTAAAAAGTTCTTCCTGCTTTAGGTTCTGTCATGTTACTAAGCTGTGTACTGATGTGGCAATCCTCCAACAAGACAGAGAGTGTATAGTTTTAACTTACCTTTATACAGGTAAGTTAAAACAGGTAAGTTAACAGGTGTGGTAATTGGTCTGATCCAACTACAGAATTCATGGGGGAGCTCAAAATGTAAGTCCTAATTTAATTTGTGTTATGTGTTAGTAAATTAGCTTGTCCCCTTTTTGTCATCTCAGTGTGTTCATAGCCCAATTTCAGCTTGATTTTCTTACTTGTCTAGTAGGTCTCCTATTTCCCAGGTAGCAGAGAAAGTCTGGAGTAAAGTGTTCACACAGCAGGACAGATTGTAGTTGGAGAGGCCTCTCATTCCTGTGACAAACCATCAGAAATGTTAAAATAATCCTGTTTGTGAAAACTTGAACCAAGCACGTTATCCACGGCCCACCTACCGTAGAGGCCCAGAGTGCCAGCGGGCATTCACATGTGTGAAAATAAAATGTAACAGTAAAGTCCTGATGCTAGAGGTAAATATAGCTGCACAGAACACCTACCTCTCTATATTGAATTCAAATAAACAAATCAATCATTTGATAGAAGACAGAGTGAGAAAGACGTGTTTGGTTCGTTGATTTAAGGCCCAATGTACAGGAGATGTTTATTTTACACAGATCCAAGGTCAGTATTTTGTTTTCTATGCCATCGCTGCACACGTGAGGGATTTATTGGTTGTGAAGAGAAAAATAATTGTGTGAAATGCAGTAATAGTAGGACATTCACTGAAGAAACCACACACTGTGTGTATGTATCTGCATTGTTACAGGTTGCGGTGGGGCCCATGGAGATTTTAATTTAACCATAATGTTTTAACAGATGACTGTGTGGGGTCGCTAGACCTACAGTGCAAAAACCTGACGGGCCTAGAGACCCTCAGGGATTCCCAAAGGAGCTTCAGAGAGTAAACACTTTTATTTTTTTACACCCTGAACATTTGTGAAAAATAAGTGGAATATTTGAACTTTTCCTCCCTTTAAAACCAGCCTGCAGTGCCCGACTCAGGTTGTCTGAGGGGCAGGGGCGAAAAAATAAAAAGGGCACCAGCTGCACATTAAGTTTTCCAGCATTTAGGGCAGCCTGTATGGCACTGCATTACGTTTTCTCTACTGGAGGGGCACCCTAGAAGTTACTTTATAATGTGGCACCAGAGCAATATAAAACACGCAACTACTTCTTTTGTTTTCTGTGTTACTCGGTTAAGGTTTTACGTTAATTCATTTTTCACCTTATTTACATACTGTACAGAAGCAAATATATTACAGCCACCAACACAATGCAGTCCAACACAACTACATCCTTTAGAAACAGTGGTAGTAATATACTGTACATTGTAGGGCTATTGTATTACAGGGTACTTTTGGTAACATTTAAATCACATTTATCAACAAAAAACATTTTTCAATCAGTGGTCCACTTACCAATGAAGTGGTCCCTCACACTAAGATATGAGAATAAACGGTAGATCCTTCCAGACATCCACGCAGACTTCACTTCACACAGTAAGTTAATTTTACCTGAAGGTCTGGAGACGAACACAAACGTAAACCGCAGAGACACCCGTCCTGCACAGCATGGAGCAGTTTACTCAGGTAAAAGAGGTGTCAAACGTTTCGCTTTACAGTATTAGTCTGTCGCCTCAGTGTAAACATCACCGTCACACCTGCAGCTTGAGGATCACTTTCGTTTTTACAGTTTCTCGTCACTTTGACGTAATCGAAACCTAAAAGTTGACATGCGCACTGCGCAGCCTGTGAAATATGAATATACCAACAGACAACACAAAACAAATCTAAACTAAGCACCATTTAATTCGGCGACATTATTTCGTGATATTTCCTTTATCTCACGTTGTGTCGCCAATAACACTTGTGTCTAAAGGCTATTTAATGTTTTATAATAAAAAGGTTTGTCATCTCAACCGTTCAAATCCGCATAATTATAGTAATTATCAGCTGATAATATGTTGAAATGTACTGTTCAATTAAATATACACACACAAATTGAGCAGACGTCCGCATTTATAAGTACAATTTACTCACAAGGGCCTGGCTTAAAGGCATTCTGGCAAAATGAAAAGTCAGTGGTTTCTGACTCAGAAAACAGTAAACACTAATAGAAATATCTTTATTTGGATTCAAAATAAGTAATTAAACTGGTATTTACACAGGTTTCATGAAATTTGAAAAAGAGACTAAACCATATTAATCAAAATGATGAACGAAACATATTGTGATTTCTAGTCCTTCACAGCCTCTGAGTGAGAGCCTGATAGTACGGTGCAAACATGGCCGTCCACATCTGTCTGAGCAGTTGGAGAAGTTTGGAAATCCACATGAATGAAGATGGAAGAGCTGCAGGGGAAGAACAGGAAGAAATGATTTATTTATTTAAACACCGATATATTTCCAGTAAAATGTTTCATACTTCAACAAAGTCTTGTGATGAAACTGAGCTACAAAGAAAGATTTAATCAAACCTGGATCCAAGCGGAAAAAAAGCATGTAGAGAAGGAGGGCAGCCAGGAAGACTCTCCAGAGAGGGAATGAGCCAGAGCCAGTCACCAACACGTTTCTGTACAAAAACCTGAGCATGGCTTCAAGTTTACGGGTTACAGATCCTGTACAACGCAAACACAATCAGAAAATATGCATTAATTGTTTGCACTTATATTAATTAGCATAATGCATGTCATAAGGACTGAGCTGAAGACCTCGAGTTGAGACAGGATGTGCAGTGATCTCAGAGTTTGGACTGATGCCGGGATTTAGAGGCGGTTCTTGATTCTGTTGCTCTTTTTCTTCCACAACATCCAGTGCCGTCTGCCTCTGTTCTTCTGTGAACGCAGTGCTTCCAACCTCGCCTACGATCAGCTCCACAGCCTCATCTCTGTGTCCAAGAGGCACGAGGACATGCAGGAGGTACAGCTCTGCCACCGTCCTGAACCCCGTTACTCTGCTGTTGGATGGGCAGTGCAACCAAACTCTGGTGGCCTCCTGCATCGAGGCTGGCTCTCCCACCTTGGAGTAAAGAAGTATGCTGCCACGAGAGAGAAATTATATTGTATTGAGCTGAAAAGATCAGTCGTAAATTCATTAGTCAATCATCAAATTAATTAAAAGATGAGAATATCCGCTTGTTTTTGTTATAAAAAATTATATAAAACAGACAAAATTTGCCACATCTCACATTTAAGAAGATGGAATCAAAGAATAATTTTCTGTTGATCTAAAAGCTTCATCTCTACTCACCACATCTGCATTATTTTAGCCGGTATTGTCTCCTGGTGCTCGTACTGCTGAAGGACCCAGGAGAAGACACCGTGCCACTGATTCAGCTCAGCCAGTGCTTGAATCCCTAAGATGCAGAAACCAGCCTTAAAATCTCCACATCTGGGGAGACAAAACACAGAAACACAAACACACACACACACACACACACACACACACACAGTGACATTACCAGGAAGCCAGGGAGGGAGGCACATTCAACCGATTCAAGGTGCATTTTAGACTTTCACCTGCTGTCCTCTTGCTCCATGTTGGCGAGACTCTCCAGGCCTCTGTCGCATGTTTCAAAAGCTGCCTGGAAGTCTTTGTGGACCATCATTTGCTCTGCAGCGGTGTCCAACATGCTGCACATCTGTGTTAAAGAAGAAGTGAGCTGCGGGCTGCAAACTGTTCCGAAGCTGCGAGCAGGAGCCATGCTGGTTGAACAGTTGCTCATGACTATCTGTCAAATTAGAGACCAATAAAAAACAAAAAACACAAACTATTTTACAGCGCTAAAAGACACTGCTTTACTTTTAGCAGCTTAGTTTATACCTGGGTGTCAAATAAACCTGTTTACATTCCATAATCCTTCGACCTTCCTGGTTCAAGATCACCAGCCAATCAGACGTTAGGATCTTCAGATTGACTGAAGCAGCCAATCACGTTGCTGTTTCTTTAAACACGCGTCATCGGTTTTTTTCTTCTCTTACTCGTAAACACGTGCACGCAGCGGAGTGTGTGTTAGCCTGTCTACGGAGGACATTTAAGCAGCTAAACTAGTTTTTCTGTAAGTTACCGTTTACTGTTAACATATGGAACAATGCTAATACACTTTATTGATTTATTATGCGGTATTAGCTAGCTTTGAAGTGCGTACTTGAGCTGCTTTAGCTTTTGATAGCTAACAAGCTAGCAAACGGTTTGTATCCGTAACATTTATAGCCGTAGCTATTAACTAATAATTAGTCACTATCACGAATTAGCGACAATGTATAGTGTTAGCTTTATTATTCTGGTTATGTGGACACGTATGTTATAACTAAGATCTTACGTCATGTGAATAGTGTTCATTAAAGGCCAAAGCCAGCTCTTTTAGAAGCCTATTTTATGTTAATACCTACTTCTATCAAGCAATAACTTGTACTGCTATCTTGACTGAACAGATAACTGTGTCACTTCTCACCTTTAATACCATCCTTCATAATTATCTAACTATAAATGTCCTGTGAGCTGTATTTTCTCATACCATTCCTCTAAAATTGCTCTTTTTAGGAGTATTATTTTGATAGTGTCTTAATAAATAGTTCATAAACATGGTTTATAGAAAACTTTGCTCAAGCTGAAACATAATGTATTCATACTGCTGCTTCCTGTCTAGGGAAAGAATTGGATAAGAATGTTTAAACCAGACTGGTGTGTTGTTTTGTTTCTTCAGATCGTCCCTAAAATGGCAAAAAGCCTCCGGAGCAAATGGAAGAGGAAGATGCGTGCTGAGAAGAGGAAGAAATATGCTCCAAAGGAGCTGGCCCGTCTGAAACAAGCTCTGAGTCTGGATAAGAAAGGAGAAGTTGTCATGACTGACATGCAGGAGATCGCCACTGTGGTGTCAGCTGAGGAGATCAAGGAGAAGGCAATGGGGGACGGTGAGTGAGAGACAGATGATATCTTTGTGTATTGTTCCAGTTGTGTTTCAAAGTGTTCGTACTAAAAGGTCATTTTTAACTGGTTTCTGAGGATTTGTGTTTTAGCCACAGATTGTGATAATGTTTGGTATTAACCTGGGTTCCTTGAGAACCTGACACAACATTTGAAAGATAATTATTTACATCATACACACAGCATTAGACAGACTTCACTTTCTTTCTTCTGTTGGTGCATTTGCTTTTGGGAAACCTGTTTGTTTATCGTCTTTCGTGTCACAGATGGGAAGATGGATATGGACAGCAAGCGCAACAAGAAAACTCTGTTGGATGAAAATGGTCAGTACCCTGGCTGGATGAATCAACGGCAGGCCAAGAAACTGAAAGGCAAACGGATGGCAAAGAAAGGTACCCAGGGCAAGAAGAAGAAGGGTATCGCTTGGTGAACCAGAGGAAAACTAAAGACCTTTGCTTCGCCTTAAAGACTTTTGACGCAGGAAAAGCAAATAATTTCATGTATTCTTTTGTACATGACAACTGTGGAATTTCTGCTGTTGAATCTCATTCTGCTCAGATTCATGGTTGTGCATTGAGTCTGATATTATAAAATAATTCACTGCAGGAAAATGTTTGTTCTTATGGAACAGCAGGTTTATTTTCGTGTTCGGACAAGTTTTAAGACACTAAGACTTGTGCAAAATATCCTTTAGCTCGTCTTAATTCATCATAGCAATGCAGGTGATTGTCATATTCTCTATTACAATGTAAGTTTTTTTTTTTTTGTTTTTTTTTAAATACTCTGATAAAGAATCATCTACAGATCTATGGCTGGTTTTGTTTACTATTGTATAAAGACTGGGTGACGAGTTTAAAATCAATATTACTGGTGCAGCCTTGAGGCGTAGAGGTTGAGACTGCAAATGGTTTTGTTTCATTGCGTCATTCCTCATTTTCTCCCCTCACTTTGTTGTAACTCTAAGATTCTTTGGATTAATTGGAATATTTTTCCCATTTCTCTGCCAGTATAATCATATAGAAGATGTATTCAAAATTATGAATTAATGTGTGAATAGCCCTGAAGTTACTGTAAATTGTCACTAATGAGAAGTTTATCAATTAAAGGTGCTTAATAAGATGAAGAAGCTTTCCATTAGAACATTTTATTCAATCCAATCAGTTCATTGCAGATAAAAGATGTAACTCCTTGTCACTAATACGGTCATACCGTCAGATGCTCATTGCCACAGACCCTATGTGAGATATTACACAATAAAACTAGAAGTCGGCTGATCAGAAGCTATTTTCTGTGATTTATTCTATAAATACAGTGCTAAAATTAATTTCCTCTGCTGGACAACCTGAGAAACGCGATAGTCGAAGTGAAGCTTGTGCACAACCTCCCTGAACCCGTCGCTCACTCCATCAGCTGAACATAAGCAGACGGGAAAAGGCCAAAGCATCCGTGACACTCTCCCTTCCACCAGCCCTCGTCAATCATCTCTATGTTGGTGATGACGTCATCCGGGTTGAAGGAGATCTCATCGTCAGCCTCTGGGTGGGGAAAGGGGGGGGGGGGGGATTTGTCATCATAAATGTTGAGGGATGATTATTAAACGTCAAAAAATGAAGAACTCTAAAGGTGTCTTACCTCCTTCATAGTCATAAATTGCTATTGCCTGCGTGCCCTTCGACAGGTCTTCATAGTCGTCGTCAGCTGTAAAATACAATATTGAAATGAGCGAGTGTTTCATATGCAAAAGGTTCGACGTGTAACTGACAGCTGACGCAGACCTGTCGGCGGAGGAAGAGGCGGGTCAGCAAGTTCCTCGTACTCTCCTTCATCCTCCTCTTCAGCTGCTGACCCGCTGTGCAGCGGAGGAGCACCCAGGTCGAGGAAATCGTCCGAGCGAGGAGGCAGAGCCGGGGGCTCGTCGTAAACTGGTTCCTCCTGGAAACATCACAGAACATCTTCAGCATAAGACCCCAGTTTCATGTTCATCCATTACGATCAAGTCGCCGAGCCAAGTGGCTGTTTTTTCCAGAACCCTCAAAGACTCTTCTAACCGTCTGGGTGAAAACTAATTCTGTCTACTTCACAGTAAAAGCATAACCTGTTTCCCTAAATGCACCTTGTTTTCTTAAGAAAGATGTTAGCCATCTATCGAGTATTTTATATTTTTATACAAAATAAATAACATTAATACACACTATAAATACTCACTACGCAGCTGAAAATAGTCCATAACAAATAAACTAATTTTAAAAGAAAGTCTCACTAATACTGGAAGAAAACTGACCCAGATATTAAAATATGGCTGGATGACGATGATGAAGATAAACAGGGAACTGACAGTGTGATGGGGAGAGATTATTTACACTCTGTCTTATTTCTCTCTCTTGTAACGTCAGTTTGTTTTGTTCTTGTTTCTGTTTCTATGTTTTCAGATATTGGTTGACTGTCATCGATTTTGTTGACAAAAACAAAAATATAGAATATTGCCAGCCTTATTAACGTTTAAATGGACAAATGAATGTGTGTCTTACCTCTGAGTCTGGTTCTGGTTCAGGTATTTCTTGTATCTCTGGCATGTGGTGTTGGACTTCAGGTGGCAGCATTTTATACTCCACATCTGGGGCCTCATCTGGAGCCTCATCTGGAGCCTCATCTGGAACAGTTGGTGGACACATTTCCTCCTCTCTCCTGCTCTCTTCCTACAGGAAACACAGAATCATTAACGTGCATATTGACCGTCACTTAATATTATGACCTCTTTACGTGTTTTCAGCACGTTTTTACCTCTTGTCTGCGTTTGGCCACCTCTCGCTCTCTGCTCTCTCTGGCTTGTCTCCTCGCTCTCTCTTCTTCCACTTTCTTCTTGTTCTCTTCACCTGAAGCTTTGGCCATGTTCTCGAAACGTGCCTTCATCTTTCCTGCACCTGCACTTGCTGCACGACACAGAGAGATGGTTATGAATACGGTGCATTAGCGATGACCTCAGCCCCCGCTTCCGATCATTTGAACATGGGAACACGTCAGCACCGGTGGCTTTACAAGACAGATGGCGCAGTTGATTGTGGTGAGCAAAACAAAAACAGAACTTACAGGCCTCTACTGGTTTTGTCTTTTCATACGCAGAGGTAGGGGAGTCCATGTCAGAGAAGCCAGCTGCACTCTGAAAGAGACAACAGAGAGGAACATGTGCTTGTTACAAAAGGTCAAGATAGGCAATTATCATCAACATTCATGCCAAAAGGCTCCATATCTGATTTGATATGAAACCCATTCAAATTTTAAAAAGGCCTACGGAGTTTACCTACAAAACCTCCAGATGAATAAAAAATAATGAATAATTGCAGCTGTAATTCTGACCTTGTCCATGCGGTCTGCCTGGACTCCATACCGACCTCCAAAACCTGCAGAATAATCTAAACAGAGATCAATCTGATCAGTCTGATGTACGATAACTATATAATACTGTCAGTATATTTTAAGATATACGCGTGTGTCTCCTCACCTTTCTGTGACTGGTGTTTCTCCGTCTCGCTCTTATAATCATAGCCCAAAGCAGCTTTATCCACTTTCTCCTTCTCAACACCAAACTTCCCTCCAAATCCCTTTGAATAATCTGAACGTGAAACGAACAAAGATTAATCCAATGTCAGGCCAAAACGTGTCAAAACTGTCAATGCTACAACGTAAACGTACCTTTTTGTGACTGGTGCTTCTCTGTTACTCCTTTATAGTCGTAACCCAAAGCTGATTTGTCCACCTTCTCCGTCTCCACCCCGTACTTTCCTCCAAATCCCTTGGCGTAGTCTGGTGAAAATAAAACGCTAAATAAAGCGAATGTCAAGCAAACAGTGTGCAAACAGACAATTGCTACAACTTAAGCTCACCTTTTTGTGACTGATGCTTCTCTGTCTGGCCTTTATAGTCATATCCCAACGCAGCCTTGTCCACTTTTTCTTTCTCCACACCGTACTTTCCTCCAAATCCCTTTGAGTAATCTAAACACACGCGGATGGGAAGAGAAATTATGTTGCGCAGCACCTTCTAAAAAGGAAAGTGTTGTACAGTAATTGAGAAGGTGGACAGACGGCTTACCTTTCTGAGATGCATGTTGCTGCACCTCTCCTTTGTATTCATAGCCCATGGCTGACTGCACAGACAGCACAGAGATGGTATTTAAGGTTCATATATTGCTTTAAGGATCGTTTGCAAAAGTTTTTTTTTTTTAAACTTTGCTTTGAATAATTATTTGTGTCTGATTTCCACTTTTCATTCTGGACTATCATGAGCTCTAAAACTAGTTGTAATGTCACAAAATCATGCTGGTAGTTACCTGTTTTTTAACTGAGATTTAAGGTGAGCACAGAGAAACGTCTTCTAGTGTCAAACTCTGCACGTACATCATTTAGTGAAGGTGAAATAATAAGTCTCTTTGAGAAGAGGGGGGGCTCTACTTGTCTTCTCACCTTGTCTACGCGGTCTTTCTGAACACCAAATTTCCCGCCGAACCCTCGTGCTGCGTCTTTCTGGGAGGAGTGCTGGTCGACTTGCGCCACATAGTCGTTCCCCAAAGCCACCTGGAGAGAAGAGTTACATTCATGAAGAGATTCAGCCCACAGCATACGGTTTATGTGAGCGAGGGCAGTAAATAAGAGGAGCTTTTAACCATGTTTTGAGTATCTTGTACCTTGTCCATTCGGTCTTTTTCGACTCCAAACTTCCCTCCATATCCGTATGACGCTTTGGGAGTCTGATCCTGCTGCTTGCCCTGCTCGTGCTCCATCGTGACATTGTTTCTGAGCTCTGCAACACTGGCAGGTCACGCAGTGGTGAAACACACTGACACAGAGATGCACAACAGTACACACAATGATAGTAATATGTGCCATTTGCACAAAGAAAATAGGACGTTTTTTAAAGGCCAAAAATAAATAATTTACTTATGATTTCTAGATGTGTTGTGAGAAATCCCTCCAGTGGTGTTTATCCTTTCTATTTGTTAGTCGTGCAATTGTAAATGTTGGAAATATATTAATAGATGATCGAAGGTTTTACGCTACCAAATAATGCATCAAGTCAAGAGTTGTAAAAGTTAACAACCCTTCAGGTTGTCCCAGATGGTTAGTGGTCCAAAGTGTCTTCCTGAAGAACTTAATAACTATAAATTAGTTACAAATGAAGTGCCCTGCTGGAGGAGGATAAACACCAGCTGAAGGGATTCTTCACAACCTAGCAGGTAGCAACTTATAGACTCGTAAGTAAACAGTGTGTTTACATCATGCTTTCTCTCAGACAGAAGCATTTCAAAGTGTCATGACTTTACTCACACATTTATAAGTGTTTGTTGACTTTCCAGGAAGTTTTACCTAAATCTGTGATCAATCTCTAAGTCATATTCTTACATTCAGCACCACTGCCTGGAACGATGTCAAAGTGTCATCATATTACCCATATTAGGAGAGACTTGCTGTCTGACAGCTTGTGCTCTCACTTCCTCTTCCTGTTGCTACACGGCACCCAGTCTGCATTTCTCTGCATCATCTAAAGAATCGTTCGTTTTCAGACACAGAAATAATGCATCTCTTACCTGATGTGCTCTGCTCGCCCTGAACCCTCGATGGTCTTTGCTCCCCACCTCTGCTCCTGCTCCGATATGTCATTCTGAAACATACATTTAGAGATGCTTTGACTGACGCAGACATCTTTTCCCTCACCGTGATACACATCTCCAGGAAGTATACAGTACCTCAAAGTCAGGGTCCGTCTCCCAGTCGTCCCCCTCTGCAGCCACCTTCATGGTCACATTGTGGCCCACGGCTGACTTCCACATCTGGGGAAGTAAAACATAATGAGCCACAATGAAGACAGTATATAACTCTTATTAATGATCATGTATTCACAACTGTTATATATGCACTGACAGATAATTCTCTATTTATCACTGCACAAACTAATGTGCAACCACAAGCTCTGACATCCATTTGCTGAAGTCTCAAAAAGGAAGTTATTTTCAACACGAAGCTTCATTTCCCCATAATGAAACACACAGCAGTACTTCATGTCGTACAAATACACTAAAATCCTTATGAAACAGTATTACGACAACATACTTTTAAAGAGAAATACTTCCTGTAGAGTCTTAAATACTTTAACACACTAAAGATTCTCTATACACATCAATTGTTTTTTTTTTGTATCATATTTTACTGTTATAATTGGAAGTTGTTAAGTAATTGCAGAAGAAGTAATATTGGACATAATGTTATGGCATACAGGTAACAAATAAGATATATATATGCAACCTAATGTTAGTCCACTTTTGAAGTTTACAGAAACTAAGTATACGTCCGACTAAATCTACTTCCTTAATAAACTTTAAAGGTGAATAAAATAAGTGTAAATACATTTAGGCTTGTCTGACTTTGTTTGAAGAAAGAAAAACAACATTACCTTCTAGTCGTCAGGTTAATATATCCGTGTTTAGGCGGATATTACACCGACAAAGTGATCTCGAAGTTCTTCACTCAAGTTGAGACAGTTTGATGGGCGACACGTGAACGCGGATCTCGCGTACGTGAACGCGCGTTGATGTAAATAATAATACAAATTCTATTTTTATCGTACTTTAATTAAAAACACTCACACGGCTTTGTTATTGTAGTATAACAGGTGTATATGTAGTATGATTGTATTTTATTATGTTTAAAGAAAGAAAAATAAAGAAAATGAAATAAAGAATAAAGAAATGCTGCATTCAAATGCGCTCGGAACTCCGAGGATGAAGGACCAGACAAAGTGCTGATAAGAGTAAATGGGGAGTTTTAGGATTTAAGAGCTACTACAACTACTTCAGACCACAAACACTTAAACACACGGACACTGGCAATTATCGCCATCACTTATAGCTATAATTGTTTCCATTTAAAACTATTTTATGAGCAGAACTTGAATGCAGGGTCCGCTACAACTGTGATTTAGCCGGCTGTAGTGTAGTTACAACACTTGGGGGCAGACTCACACAGTTTATACACAATGAACCACAGCGATAGGAGAAACCTGGGAAAGATTTACTACTCAGAGTTAAGGACTATGTTTTTTCTTTGTTACGTTTTTGATGATTTGTAAGCAAAGCATTTTAAATTTGGCTTCAGATGTCAATATTCTAAGCCATCAAAGAATTCTGGATGAAAGTGTCTAAAACAATAACTCGAAAACCTCGATTAGATTCAGGCACATTCAGGAAAGTTTGCATCCTTCATGATAAAAAGATTATTATACCTAATATTAATATTTCCTCTGGCTCAGTAGTTCATATATTGAACTATATCTGTACTATTTAACTTCCATGTTTCAATTCACTTGCTGACCTCAGTACAGACAAACAGTTTATTTGTTTAATCTTTATTCTGTGCTATACGCACTTTTGCAAAAAGTGAATGTGCAAGCAAAGACAGTGTGTTTACATCATGCTTCTTCCAATATAGAGAAGCATTAAGAGCTTTTAAGACGCAGCGCGTTATTGTGTGAATTACAAAATTGTCACATGAAGTCACTCCCACAATTATAAATGTTTTCTGAAACAGCTAAATCGTTGATTAATGAAAAACATTTCCTCATTACTTCACAAACCAAACAAATCGTGTTTTTATTTGCAGAATTAGAATTAAAATGAACTGAGCCCAAAATAAACAGTAGTCAAAAAAAAGTCCCAACATCAGATTTTTCTACAGACACACAAATGAGTAAATAATGAATGCCTGTCCCTGATCTACACCACCAACACCTTTATTATATGTTAGTTTTCTACACAGCCCTTTTAAACAATTATTTACAGTTAAAAGTATGTTTCAGTGTAAGATGTGAATAAGATCATGAATGTTTAGGAAGAGGAGTACAGAGGGATCATTTCACCGACAGTGAGTGATTAAATAAACAAGAATCGACTGGATGATGTCAATATACACGAGGATCATTCTAACTGTTATGGCAATAAATTACGCTACATCAGAGTAGTCTATAATGGCACGGATATCATTAGAAAACCGCAGTCTCTCCCCTCTGGAATGAAGCCACACGGTGGTAACATTGCACCAGAATGGCAACTTCATCCGCCGTAAAAACTAAGTCTATGCAAGAGGACCGGGAATCTTATGGGATATGCAAGAGGGAGGAAAACCCACATCCAGCTGACATACATAATACACTTACATATGTACAGATATCAATATGCTCCCTTTTGTTTAAATGTGATTTATAGAAGAAGAAAAGGAAACCCACAATAGGAATGTGTAACTTAAATTGCACTGTGCTCTGTTTTTGTGCATGAAATGAGTAGAAGAGGAAGAGACCGGACTATAACAGCACGCCCTGAACCTCAAGCCATCTTAAAATAACAGTATAATGGACATTTTGGGAAGTATACGCATATTAGATGACAGGAATGATATCACTCTCATATCGGTCCGTTAGACAGATATGAGCAGATGTTTAGCTTAGCATATAGTGGAAACAGCTAGCCTCTAAAAGAACCTCTAAAGCTCACTAATTGACACATTATCTCTCGTTTGTTAAGTGTTTAAACCACAATTCAATGTTCTACACTCACTATTGTATAAACACCTCCGGAAATTAACCTCTGGAAAATGGTTACTTTGGTTTTTTCTGAACTAAACAAACACAATATAAAGTATGTAATGGTGGCCTTTGGAGGCTAGCCGTTTGTCTGGATGCTAAGCTAACTGCCGACATGTGGCGTCATTATTAACAGACATTTAGCTTACCGTTAAACTAGTCCCCAACACGTCATTTTTTTGTTTTAACGTAACGTTTTTCTATCCAAATCTAAAGGCACGTGAAAAACACAATCTGCCAATAAGAATCGACCTTTCCACCATATATACCATAGAGTTTTAGGAAGAAGTCCGTTTATGTCCTCTCTGGGGTTTCCCTCAAAGTCATACAAGAGCAATAGCTTCCTACATAAATCTACATACTTTGGCTAAATGCAGAAGTCCTGTAAAGTGCAACGTTTTTGTGTAGAACATCCTTCACACCCTTCTATAATGTATTCCGTGTAACAATATAAAGCATATTGATGGCTTGGGTTAGGTCCGTGTCTCTCCATCTCTTATCTGTCAGGTTTTTGTTTTTAAAAGGGGAGCTGCTTTCAGAGGTATCCGCCCAGACACAGCAGCAGCAGGACGTGCACGGTGATCAGATAGAGGCTGAACAGCAGAGGGGTGCGCTGACGGGAGCAGAAAGCCACTCGGAGCATCCGCGTCAAACCCGGACCACCTCTCCGAGTCTGCAGGAGAGGGAGGACAAGGTTACGGGAAACATTCAGTGCATCAAGTCTTTATTACTAGAGCTATTAAGATGACAAATGAGGTGGTACAGGACATTAGCGGAGCCTTACTCGGGTGACAACTCCTTCCGGCTCGATCAAAAGAGAGGTCTCCGAGTGATCCTTTTCTTGTGCGGAGGGCCATTTAGCCTGGCTGTGATTTGTCATATTAAAAAAAACACTGACGTTAGCGGTCATATTTTGTGGATTGAACAAATCTGTCAGAGCAAAAAGATGAATGATGTAAATGCAGAGAAACGACAGAAAGCATATTAAAGCCCCGTTAGGCAACAGTTATTACAGAATGTGATCGTTAGTCTCAACATTTAATCGAGAACAAAATTATGAGCAATGTTTCTCTGTCTTCATTGGGTTTTGTTAAGACAAAGCATGATTTGATTTTAGCTTGGCTTTGGAACAATTGACAAAGTGACATGAAGTCAAACAACTAATCGATAAAAATAGGAAACGGCTTTGATGAGAGAGTAAAGAAAAACGGGCCGAAAAACCAAAACAATGAGCTGAAAGATGCTAAAAAGCTCTTTAGATCCAGGTGATTTAGTCACTAGAGGAAACACCTTTCAGTCATTTTAATCCGGTGAAAATATACAAATATATCTTAAAGCTTTAATATGCCTTCTCTGTTATCATGCATCATATTTCATACCGTTTGAATCGATCCTGTGTGGCCATTAGCTGCTCCTCCGCAGCCACCCTCTGCTCCATCTCTTCACCCAGCCTGATGTAAAAGAATCAAACATTGATTATCATCGACATGTTTTATCCAAACACTTTTACAACAGCACTTCCTGTAAGGTTTGACCTGTACTCTACCTTCTCTGGAGCTCTTTGACCTCAGCGATGTAAGCGTGGCTGTCTACAAGGCTGCTTCGCTCCTGTGGGGCTCCCGGAGCACTGTCCACTTCCTCTGTGCCCTGTGGGGAAGATAATGACATTGTAGAAAATTCACATTATATGCAACATCACTGTCCTACGTCTTACTGATTTTATAGTTTATATCACGCCACATTTCTGGAGGGCCAATAGAGATTACTGACACACAATGTGGTATGAGATGTGGAACTAAAAGACGAGGAACAAACACACAACCTGGGGGGCATTTGTGCCAAAAAGTCCTAGTACAACAAGATGTATACCTCTCTCTGATAGTGTTCCTGCTGAAGTTTGGGCTTATGAGCGCGGGCTTCCTCCAGCATGGCGCTGAGTTGCCGCAGTTGTTGGTCCCTCTCCGAGAGAGTGGCGAGGGTCTGCTGCTTCAGCTGCTCTGCTTGAGCCATCCAGTCCATACGCTCCAGTCTAGCAAAGCACAAGGCAGACATATTCACGCACGACGAAAGGCCTTTTGTGCCACTTTGCTTGATAAAAACAGCGACAGGCCGCCGGCTCTGTGGCTCACCTGAGAGTTTCTATCTCCTGCTTGCCCATTTGCACCATATTCCCCAGCTGCATTATGTCAGCCAGCATGTCTTCGCTCTTCCTCTTCTCCTCAAACAGCTCCTGGCTGACTTTTATCAGCTCTCCTGCTCCCAGTCGAGCCAGCTCTGACTTCAGCATCTTGAGCTCAGACGACTGTGCCTGAAGCTGCTCCAGCTGCACAAAATAAAAGATACATCAGCGGAAAATCCACATTATCAAACTGTTTTACATTATTTACATTCTTTGCCAGGAGAGTTGTGGTCCGACATGTAACTCACCAGTCTCTCCCTGTCATTCTGCAGGGCTTGTAGTGCGTTCTTCAGCCCCCACACTTCTCCAGCGGAGCCTCCAGGGCTGCTCTGTGCCGCGTGGCCGCCTGCCTTACTCATCTCTTCCAGCCTCAGGCTCAGCTCCTGGACCTTGTTTACCGCCTGGTCCCTGCTGTCCTGGAGGGAGGCCATGGCTTTTGAGAATGACTGGTTCTCTGCTCTCAGCTGCGTCGTCGCCTCCCTCTCCACCAGCAGACTCTGTTCGACAGCCAGCAAGTCCCTGGCCAGCTCGGCCACCCTCTCCTGGGCGGTCTCCGACTCCGTCCGCATCACACCTCCCTCCCATCGCAGCTCCGACAGCTCTTTGCTCCTGCTCTCCTGCGCTTGTCTCTCCTTCTGTTGGGTCTCCTCCAGTGCCACCGCTTGATCTCTCGCCACTTGCAGCTGCTCCCTCAGCTTCTCAACTTCTGCGCCGGGAGCATCTATCACCTGTGATGCTGTCTTAAACTCAACAGCCTGACTGAGGGTCTCCCTCTCCACTCTGACTGCTTCTACCTCCATCTCTCTGGCTCTGCTCACGCTCTTTACCTGACTTTCCAATTCCTTGTGTTCTTTTTCCAGGGAGGCAATGCGCTCCCGCTGAGCTGCCAGAAGCTGTTTGTGTTGGGACTCCTTCATGCTCAGGACTTGGTTAAGTTCCTCGCGGTAGCCGTGAAGCTGAGCCGATAGCTGGGCCTTTTCAGCATACAGGTCGTCTCTCTGGACAAGCAGAGAGCGCAGCTCCTCTTTCAGGCTGTTGTTCTCCCCCGCCGCCTCTTGGATCAGGCCATCTTTCTCCAACATCACCTGGGACACAATACAAGACATTACATCGGCTACTACATAAAGCTCGACATATCTTATAAGCTTTCGTTTTGTCTGCGTTACCTGCAGGTGCTTCTCCTCCAGCTGTTTGTACATGTTGAGGACTCTGTCTCGGTCATCCTGCAGGGAGCCCATGGCTTTCATGAAAGAGTCCAGTCTGGCTTTTCTGTTGTTGGTCTCTTCCTCTGCTTTTCGCAGTTTTTCTTCCAGATCTCGCAGTTCCCCTCTTCTCTGCTCCAGCTCTCCCTCGGCTTCTTGTGCCCGGCTGTCGGCCTCCTTCCTCGCTTCCTCTGCAGCCTGGGAAGCAAATCACACATGAATGGTGGGAGATGTGTCATCCATGAACAATATACAAAATGCACTGTAGATGTACATGTTAATACCTGAGCAACAGCCTGCTCCTTCTCCACCAGCATTTCCATCTCTCTCCGTTCCTTCTCGTTTAACTCAGTCTGCAGGCTCTCTGTCAAGGCCTTAGAGGACCTCAGGTCTGTCTCTAGCTGCTCCACGTTCAGACACAGCCGCCTCTCTTCTGCCTCCCTCTCCCTCAGCTCAGTCCTGGCCTGGTCCACTTCACCCTGCAGCCGACCCACAGCCTCATCCAGAGCTCTGGCCCTCAGCTTTAGACTCTCCACCTCATTTTTCAGGGCATGGGCTTCATGTTGTGCAGACTGCAGCTCAGTTGTAGTTTGTTGAAGCTTGCTGCTCGCCTCCTCTAGGGCAGCTTGGCTCTCAGCGACTTTCTTAACCTCCTCTTCCAGTTTCAGCTTCCAGTCTTTGTCTGCTTTCTCAAGTCTGGAAAAAAAATAAAAAATTCTTGTGAGTTTTGAGCTAAAAAGCTGAACATAATCAAAGGATTCGGGGAAATAAGACAAATGCAGAGAGACGATCTTTACCTGTCCACTGACAGCTGAAGTTCATCTTTCAGTGCCGATTCTCTCTGAAGCTGTTCTGCCAGTTCCTTGGCCCTTGTTTCAGCCTCCCGAACTTCAGCCTCCTTGCTCTGCAGCACATCATTAAAGCGAGTCTCCCATTGTCGGGTCTCGTCCAAAACTCTGTCCCGGTCGTCTTGCAGTGAGGACATGCAGCGCGAGAAGGCGGCTAACCTGGCCAGAGACTCGTCCAGACGGGCTTGCATCTCCTGGGCGCGCCTCTCGGCTCCTTCTGCCACCACTCTGGCCTCCACAGTGGCTTCCTCTTCCCGGTCCCTTTCTCTGTCCACCTCTTCCAGTCTCAGCTCCATCTCCTTCAGTTCGGCTCCGAGCCTGAATCTCACAGAGTCGAGGGTTTGCTCTGCCTCCGCTATCAACGAGGCCTCTCTCTTTTGTGCATTCTGTTCAAGGGTGGTTTTCTCAGCTAAAGCCTCGCGTGCCTGCGTCTGGGCCTCGTCCAGCTGGGATTTGCAGCTGGCCAACTCTGCTTCACACCTTTTCAGGTCTTCCGTGGTTTTGGAAGTCTCCAGTTGGGATTGCTCTAGCTTGCTGTGGAGCTCATCATGGCCTAGCTGCAGCGACTTAGCTTCTCGACCCAGTTCGCTGATCCTCTCCTGGTACTTGATGCAGTCCCTCTGCAGCTGACGGACCTCCAGCTGCTTCTCCCTCAACAGTTCCTCAAGCTGACGCGCTCGGCTCTGGCTGCCTTCTCGGACCCTCTGGGCAGACCGCAGCTGTTGCTCCAGCTCCCTCTGCTTACCCGACTCTGCTTCGGCTTCAGCCCTTTCTCTCTGGGCTTGCCTCATGTCCTCCTCCAGCCTGGCAGCCCGGTCACTCTCACTCTGAGCCTCGGCTTCCAGCTCGGCTCGCTCCCTCTCCAGCCTCTCCACCTCCCGCTGCAGCTCAGCGAGGTGCTCGCGGTTGTCTGCTGCCTCTTGCTGGTAGCCAGCGATGCTCCCGTTGAGCTGAGCCAGCTGGTTCATCAGACGCTCCTCCAGGTTGTCTTTCTCAGCTTCGAGGCTTCGGAGCAGCTCCTTGAACTGGGCCTCCCTCTTTGATCCCTCTTCAACCAGACTCTTTTCTCTCTCTTTGCCCTCTTGAAGGCACTTCTGTAGCGACGCCACAAGGCTCTCCTTCTCGTTACTCTCCTGAAGATCTCGCTCGAGAGAAGCCAGCTCGGCTTTGAGTCCAGCCTCCTGTTCCTGCCACAGTTCCCGTTCTGCACCGACAGCTGCCTCCATCTCCCTCATTTTATTGTCGAATGAAACTTTAAAACTTTCCATCATTTCTGCCTTTTCCTTTTCCTCAGTAGGTTGTGAATGTGTTTCTGGTGCATGCACTGCAGCCATTTGGTCAGCTGGTGTCTCTTCTGGAGTTGAGGGTCTATCTCTGTCTTCATATTGACTCTCAACAGGCTCTGCTTTAGTCATGATTATGTCTGATTGCTGGGCAGTGACGACCTCTTCTACACCAGCTGCAGAGCTAAGCAAAGGAGCTTGAATTACGCCGTCTTCTTTCTCTCTTGTCCGGGCAAGTTGTTCCCTCAACTCTTCAATCTGCTGCCCTAAAGAGTCTTTTTCTGCCACAGTAGCATCCAGCTCAGCTTGAAGTCTTTCGACCTCAACTTTGAGAGCCTTGCCCTCTCGTTTTATTACAGTCTTGTCCTGCATCTCGCTAAGTCTCTCATTCTCCTCCTCTAACTCCAGGATTTTCTGCTGCTTCGTTTTGGCAAACTTTCTCATTTTGTCTTTCACTGAAGTCACCTCTTTCTGTGCCTCTTCCGCCTGTCTTTCGGCTTCCTGCCTCCCAGCCTCGTGCGTCCTCACCCTAGTCGCGAGCTCTTGCCTCTCCTGCCTGGCGGCCTCCAGCACTCGTCTCACTCGCTCTGCCTCGTCGCTCACGTTTTCATACGACTTGAGCAGGATCTCGTACTCGTCCTTCAAGCCTTGAACCTTTTCCTCCCATTCTCCGCAGGCTCTGGCCGCCTCTTCTTTCGCCAGCTCCACTTCTCTCTTACAGCCATCTTTCTCCGTCAGTATGCCCTCCATGGCCAGTTTGAGGCTCTCACAGGACGACCCTAGGCTTTGGTTTTCCACCAATGTCCGGTCGACCTCATCAATCAGCTTAACTCTTTCCGCTCTGAGCTTCTCCAGCTCATCTTCTGCCGACTCAATTTTCTGCTGCAGCTCAGCAACAAGCTTCTCAGTTGAAACTAGTTGCTCCTTCTGGGTTTTGTTTTCTTTCAAAGCATCTTTGCGAGAGATCAGAGCAGCCTGAAGCTTTCGCTGCAGCTGCTGGATCTTTGCCTCGCTGTCTCTTCCTTCCTCCTGCTTCAGTGGAACCTCAACCTCTAACCTTTGGGCTTTTTCTTGCTCGGCCTGCAGTTCTTCCTGTAAGGAAGCTATTAGCTGATCCTTCTGAGACACCGTGTCCTGCATTGAGCGTATGAGAGAGTTCTGCTCGCTGAGCTGCTGACTCAGCTCCATGATTTCATGGTTTTTATTGTCGAGGAACTGCTTGAAGTCCTGCACTTCGGTCTGAAGTGCTGTGATGGAGGAAGTAGAATCTGCAGTTGCTGCGTCGGCCTCCATCTCTGCTTTCAGGGATTCAGCGTAAGACTCAGCCTGCTGATACTTCTCTCTAAGATCATGAATTTCCTCCGAGAGTGCATCGATCTGTCTTTCATTTTCTCTTAGAGCGAGTAGCTCTTTGCCCAATTCCAATAATTCAGCCTCTTTCAGACACAAACCGGTGTGGGTTTCCTGCAGCTGCTTCTCTAGCTCTGTGTTAGCCAGCCGCACAATCTGGATCTCGTCTCTGAGTGCTTTCACAGATTCCTCCATTTGTGCAGAGAGGACGTCAGACTGCTCCGCAAAATGCTGAACCGGGTCGCTGGAATGTGGCCGCGACGAATCCGTCTCAGATGTGGCAAAATCCACCCAGTCCTCCTGGACCCAATCACCCGCTGTTTGCTTTGCCACATTTTCAGCCAGCCGCTTGGTCTCCTGACGAGGTTCTCTTTCAGCGCTCACTTTCTCTTCTAATTCTCTCACTTTGGTCAGAAGCTCTTCTCGCTCGTCGCTCTGCACCTCAAAACGTTCCACGAGCTCGCCGTGTTCTTCTTTCTGCTGCTTCAGCTGCTCCCGGTGGTGCCTGTCTTTCTCTTTTGCCTTGCGGATTGTTTCCTTGCGAGATTCTTGGGCATCTTGAACTTTCTTCTGAAGGGTTTCACACTCCGCTTCCAGAGAGGCCACTTGGGATTGCAACACAGTTGTTTCAGAAGAACCGTCCGCCTGCTGAGAGTTTGCAGCTTCTTCACTTAGCTTTCTATTCAGAGCGAGCGTCTCGCTGAGAACTTGATCCTGCTGGCTGATTTTCAGCTCAAGTGTCTCAACTGCCTCTTCTTTGGACCTTAAAGCTTGCTCGAGTTCGATGACTTTAGCCTCCATTTCCTGAATGTCATGTCCTCTCGATTGTTCTACCTCAGGAACGTCTGTAGGAGTTTCATCTCGCTCTGTCCGTTTCTTTGCTTCTACCTCAAAATCGGCAACCTTCCTCATGAGCTCTTTGCGCTGCACAAGTGCAGCCTGCAGCTTCTTCTTTGTGGTCGTCAGCTGGGTTTCCAGCACTCCTTTCTCCTTTCGCACACTGACAAGTTCATCATCCACATGAGCGGCTGAGTCTTCAGAACTCACTTTCTGTTTCTCGTCCCTGACTTTCTCAAGGTCCACTATCTGCTCCTTCAGTTTACCGACTTCCCCGTCTGTCTGGAACTTCTCTTCTTCTGCTTGGAGGAGTTTAGCAGACATGCTGTCATTGAGCTCCATCACCTCTTGCTCTTTTTGGCTGAGACGGTCGTGCAGCTCGCTGATCTCCATGTCCTTCTTTGACACAGTGTCATTGTTAATATCTGATGTTTGAGAGTATTCCAGCATGCTGCTTTCCATATCTTGAAGCCTCCTTTCCAACTCGGAGGAGAGGAGCTCTCTGTCCTCCAGCTGAGCACTCAGCATCCTGGCCTGGCCCTCCTGCTCGGAGAACGCTTGGTGGGCCATTTCCAGATCAGTCTGCAGGGCCTTGATCTTCTCTTCCTTAATTGTTCTTTCAGTGCTTAAAATGTCTATCTGATCTTCCAGAAGCTGCATTTCAACACCGTGTTTCTCCACCACGGAGCTGAGTTGCTGAGAGAGCTTGTCCAACTCCTCTCTGGCTGACTTAAGCTCCTCTATAAAACTATTGCCCTGGGACTCGGCTTCTTCTTTGGCATCAGTAAGGAACTGTGTTTCATCTTCCAGACTCTCGATTTTCTCCTGTGACTCTGCAGCTGCCTCTCTGAGCCTCTGAAGCTCAGCCAAGAGCTCACTGTACCTCCTCTGAAGCTCCTCAGCTAAGGCCTGAGCGAAGACCTGACCAGAGGCCACGTCACCATCTGCGGTGGAAGAACCGTGCTGAGTTACATGAACTTGCACCGTCTCTCGGATGATGACAGAGGAGGACTCGACTTGAACCGTGGAGGTTTCCTGCTCCATGCTCGTTGCCTCCCATGACTGCAGCTGCAGCTGGCCAAAGTCCTGCATGATGGGCGGCCACTCCTGGCCTCCATCTTGATTCACAGCTTCTAGGAGCGTCCAGCTGCTGTGGGCCACCTCTGAATCACTACTGGCGACCATCTCATCTGAGGAGGTCCCTTTGGATTCTTCTGGGGACTCAGACTGGTGTCCAATAAGCTCTGGGCTGCTCTCATTATCAGCAGAAATGCAGAGGACTGAGGTGTCCTCAGCAACTAAGGTGGTCTCCTCTTCCTGTGTATCCTCCATGAAGTCAGGAAGGGCCGCAGAACTGTCACGGGGGGCCGCACTGGCATCCTGACCCTGATCTGGAGTCTGATCGTAGGTTTCACATGATGCAGCCCCACTGGAGCTGTGCTCGTCAGCCAGTCTGAGGGATTCCCGCAAGGCAACCAGCTCATTGTCTTTTTCTAAAAGCTGCTGCTCTAGGTCCAGCACGTGTGCTGTGGAAGTCAACAAAACGAGTAAGTTATTATTCATTTTCTGTCGATTGACTTATCATTTCAGCGCTGAAGCATCATGATTTATTTGTTGATTATATTTAGTATTAATAATCTAAATCTACACAGTAGCTGGTAACTATAGCTGTACAATAAATGTAGAGTAAAGTACGAAGGAAAATAGAAATACAAAAACTTCAAATTTGTATTTAAATACAGTACTTAAGTAAATGTCCATATATATTTTTCATCACTGCCTCACACTCAATAATGTCAAGTTATGTAATTTTGTCCCTATACAGAGTATCCTTGTAAATAAGAGCTGCAAAAAAGGTAAACAAACACCTCTGACAGGCAGAGCAGAATCCCCTTTAGTGTGTGTGTGAGCGTACTGATCTTAACCATTATGTTCCATGTTATGCATGAATTTTATTTTGGGAGTACGAATCCAGTTTTTGTACCTTTATTAGCTTCAGATGAATCCTCTGCTGATGGTTCAGTCTCATCATCCCTTTCAGACGCCTGAAACAAAAAAAAAAAAGATATTAAGGAAGATTAAAGCTTTTTGATCTCATGATTAAACATTTACTGGAGATACTTTCCTGTACAAAAAGTTGTTTTTAAAGCTCTGTATGGCTTCTATGATTGATCCTAAATCTATATCAGCAGCACACACGGCTGTAGCGTGAGGTGAAGGGCAGATAAGACAGTCCTAAGAGTGGATCAGTGCAGAGGGGATTAGGCGCAGTAGCCACAGTCTGTCTATGACCCTGCATCTGTCCCGTCTGAGACAGACACATGTTGTGACCCTGGACCAGGTGTAGAGGACCAGCCTGACTCTCAAAATAAAAGTTCCTCAAACTGTATTTTAAAGAAGAGGTACAATAAAAAGACACGTCTGTCTGACTTTGTAGACGGACTACTGAGAACTACTGTAACTTCTTATACCTCAGCTTATACTAAGCTTCCAGTCCCACATCTTACGCTTCCAACACCTTTTTTGATCATATAAACACAGAGACAGAAAAACAGAAAGTCATTACGAAGGCAATGATAAACTTTGAAGTTAAATCTTTGCTGAGATGATAAGACTTGCAGAGTATCAAGGAGCTTATTTAAGATTCCCTTTTGAATTTACATCAAGTAAGAAAAGTTGCTCAATTCTGGTGTTGAGCAGAAACTTGCTTCTGTGTTTTTTAAGACCACATTTGGAGGGCTCACATTGTCAACAACGTATTTCAATGCCTGTTGATTAAATGCCATTATCCAGTTAATGCATCCAGATACAGATCATGTAATAATACCAGGTGTTCATGGGTTCTGAGCACTAACCGTTATGATTTGATGCTGCAGCTGTTGTGTCATGGCAGTGGTTTCCTCCTGTTCTGTGGTTTTTCTGTCAAGTTGTTCTGAAAATCAGAGATTCATATTTAAACATCTCGATGAAACTAAAAGGTTTCACATGCCTGAACTTCATAAACAAACAGTTTCATACCCTGGAGGGTTTCCATGGTGTGGGTGAGCTCGACACAATGTTCCTCTCTCTCACTGCATTCATCTTTCAGCCTCGTCAGTTGAGTCTCAACAGACTGCACAGTGTGCAGGAACAGGGAAAGGTCAGCAGGGAGGGGGACGTCTTCTTCGGCTGCTTCTTCGAGAGCCAGAGACCGCAGAGGTCCCCAAATTTCAGCCAAGATCTCAGCCTTCTTCTGGGCATCTTGATGTTCCTCCTTCAGTGAGGCCAGCTCTCGCTCTAGCTTATCGACTTTTGCCCCCTCCCTCTCTGAGGCGTCCTGGCTGGCATGGACGACTGCCTCTCTCGTGGATGCAAGTTCACTTTCCAGCCGAACTATTTCCGCCCTGTCGCTCTCTGAAGCGTCACGCTCAGCCTCTTTCATCAGATCCAGTTCTCTCTCCAATCTGGCAACTTCCGTCTTTTCCTTCTCCAGAGCCTCCCGACCAACATGTTCTGCCTCTCTCAGGGAGGCCAGCTCGCCCTCTTGCTCCGCCACCTCCGTCCTCTCTCTATCAAAGTCCTCCAGGCTGGTTCGGAGGGCTGCGACTTCTGCATCGGCCCTGCCGGCCTGTTCGGCCCACTGCTGCCTCTCCTCCTCCCTCCGCTTGATGGCCTCGGCCAGCTCCTGCTCCATCTGACGGAACTGGGCAGTCAAGATCTGAGCAGAAATTAGACGGAGAGAAGGAGAAAGAGGACATGAGTGGGTGTGTTGTGTGTGGCTCAGCCAAACAATGCATACGATAAGGGTGCGACTGTTTGAGCAGTTTTCTTTTCATCAAGCAGGAGCACTATTCATTACAACTGAAGCATATGTAAATATGTGCCAACATGCACAACAGTCTCTAAACCAACACACTAGAAATATCTGCACAAATGGCATCAAGTGCATCCGGTTGTGTACCTGTTTTTGTTGATCAGCACTGCTCACTTCCTCCTGCAGCATTTCCAGCACTTGGGACCGAGAGTTTAAGGCCTCCTCGAGTTCTTCACAACGCCTCTGCGCTGCATGCAGGGCCTGGGACAAACAAACACAAAGAGACCAAATCTGTGAAGTGTGGCCATCATCTGCTCTTTCATGAGTGGAAAACCTGAAACATGTTTTGTGTTTATCCCCTCGAGAGGAGAGGAACTGAGGCAAATTTGAGTTATGTGCCCAGTTATCAAACTGTAATTACATAATGGGTTTCAGCTCAAACTATTTTCTGAATAAAGTGTTACAGTTACAGTTTTTTTAAAGATCCGACGGTGCTTTTACCTGCTGAAGCTCGCCATCACGCTGAGACTGTGTCGTGACCCTCAGCAGCTCTTCCTCGTGTTTCTGGATCTGTTCCTGGAATCGCACATCCTTCTCACAGACCACAGCCTGCAGTTTCCCCAACTGAAAACAAAAATAACACAACAAATCATTGAAAGCCCTCGTTCATTAACAGAATGCGACTACATGTAATGAGAGACCCAGATATGTCACCTGTTCAGCATGGGCAGACTGCTTCTCTTGAAGGATCTGTTCTGTGTTCTGGAGTTGCTCCCAGAGCTCTCTGCTTTTGGCTTCCTCCTCACTCAGCTTGTTCTTCAGCTCCTGGAGCTCCTCCTCGACTGCAGCTCCTGTAAAAGAGCTGTCTGGACTCTGCTGTAGACAAAACAGATGTTTGAGTCAGATAAAAACGTGTATAAGATCGTTGTAGGAGGATTTGTGAGGCTGAGGCTATTTGGGCTCATTTGAACGTACTGTTGCTTCTCCTTGTCCTCTCAAATCTGTTATCTGTTTGTTGAGTGCCACCATCTTGGCTTTGGCCTGCATTTTGAGTTTGGTGAAGCGAGCGTCAGCTTCCTCCTTCTCGTTCTGTAGATATGAAGCACAAAAAGCATTAGTTGACACCAAGAATATAACTGACTTTGGGGTCTTGATAGAAAACACACACACACACACACACACGTTATTCACCTTGAGCTGTGCATCTTTGTTGAACAGCTGAGAGTCTTTGTCTCGGATGAACTCCTTCAGCTGGACCACCAGTTGCTCCAGGTGAGCCAGCCTCTCCATGGCCTCCTCAGGGGCCTCAGACTCCACAGGAGCCGGACCCTCACCGGCAGGGAGCTGAGGCACCAGCACGCCCTGTTAGAGGAAACAGATATGGTCAGTTTGACCTGTTCAACCAGTTTAACAGCTATATAATATCATATCCTCTCTAGCTCTGTGATCAAATAAAAGAAGCTACTGAGTAGCATTAGGAGAAATGGAGGGAATACCCTTTGAAGCTGCCTTGGCAAATACTCTTTTAAATTTGTCATAATTGATGTGATGCTCTCTCACCTGCGGATCTCCATCTGGGCCCTCCTCTCCAGAGAGCTCCTGGAGGACTGTGGCCAGACGGCTGAACATAAAGATGGCTCTGTGAGGGGGAATATCAAAGTAACATTATTAATATCTGGCATACAATTCAATTTCTTTGCCACAACTGCGCAAGCCCTCTTCTGTTCCCCATAGATAAAACTGTGGAAATGTTTAACTATTGACTTTCTGCAATGTCCTCCATCAATGAGCATAATACATTACTCACAGAGCAGCCGTATGTTTGTAATATACAGTATATAATGTAGGATATGTGCACATTTACTGTCTTTGCCAAGAACAGCTTGAGGTGCTGCTCGACGCCGAATGACGCGTCCTCTCAAGGTGTGATTATACACATAGTCCCAAGCATATTTACTGTATTTTACCTTTTATACACAGTGTCTCCATGCCACGGCATGTTACGTTACACTAGAGTGGACACTATTAGTCAAAAGGATGTAGAAATAATTGATTTTCAATCAATATTTCTTAGTTTTAGCAGCTGAACTGTGAGGCTTTGCCGTTTATATCTTGTCTTATGTGGTAAAAGATATATTTAAGTTTGAGGTGTTTGGAAAAAAATAAGCAATTTGATATCAGAATCAGTTTTATGGTTTACAAGGACTTTAACTCTGGTTTTAAGTTGCTCTTAATGTTACAAAGATAGGAATAAAAATTACATACAAGTAGATGACAAAATTAAGGGAATTGCATAATCATGTTTGGGCTCTAGGAAACTTTTAAATCAGAATATCATAGGCCAAATGATTTTCAATAATTGAGAAGATTAACCTAAAAATGCATGCTATATTATGTAAATAGATTTTTCGGAACCATTTATATAAATAAACTATACAACCTGGATTTACACTGACAAATATCTTTCTCAATTTTATTACTTTTTTACAACAACAAAAAAGCAACACATTGGTAGACACTCCCTAGCCTATTTTTCCTCCGAGCCGGACCGGACAGAGCCGACTTTACCCGAACCTGCTCGGACACACTCACTGCGGCTGCGTCACCCTTTTTGTGAACAGCAAAGATTATAAGCTAGCTAACTCGAAAAAAATGGACGGCAAACTTTCCGAGCGGCTGGACAGCGACGCCTCCAAAAAGATGTAGGCACATTTAAAGATCAAGAAACGGCAGCGTGAGCAGGATAATCCGGGGAAACATCCGGTGTTTACTTTCCACGATACAGTAAATTAGCTAATGCTACTTAGGCGAGCTAACGCTGGTCAATAACCTAGAAGGACTCTTTAAAACCGGCTTCGATGAGTTGTTCTTCTTCGTGAGTGACAGCTCTTTAATACAGCTCAGTAAGTGGTGTGTTTTTTAAGGACCTTTGACTCACCTGTACTATTGCTTCCCAGGTGAATGTGTCTGCTTTTTATGTGATATCCTCGGATGGAAGGCAGAGCATAGCCACATCACCAAAACATTCCCGGAAACAAAACTTCCTTCGCTCTGATTGGACAGCCGGGATTCCTGTATTTAAGGGACCGTCTGCAAATTCGCAGGCGTCTACTCCTTTCTCGGGAGTATCTGCGTATAAATATACATTTAAAAAAACGAAAAATATTTTTTTCTACATCTGGAAGAATTCAGAAGACAGAAATGAGGATGGCAGGACATGACCAAGGAGTCAACCGGATCATCAACCAAGGCAGGCAGCTAGGGAGGAGTCTGATGCTGCTGGTTCACTACACCGCAGTGTTTGTGGCCTTTGCAGGGCGCTCCGTGCAGTGGATGGTGGGCGCAGTGAGGTGGACCACCCTGTTTGTACGCTACACGGTGTCAGTGTTTGACTCCATCTACAGACACCTGCACTGGGGGAAGAGGAAAAGTGCCGCTGGTGGTGCCAGAGAGATCTGCCCGTGCTCTGGCATGAAGCCACAGTGACTCCTTGTTTGTTGTAACTTTGTCTGACTGTGTTTGTCTAGACATGAAGACGACAACAAAGACTGCAACTGAAACGGAAGGGGTGAACTTTTGGAAACTGAAAGAAGGAAAATGAGGCCTTAACAGTTAAAAAATCCAAGCTTTTTACTTTTTTAAGCTCTTTAAACATAGCCATTTGTTACTTCGTCTTACTTGTGCTTTATTATTACATATGATTACGTAATATGTGTATTCCATGCTCTTCCAAAATGTTGGAAACTATATTTAAGGCTGTTTGTGAGAACAAACCCTGTTGCTGCCATTCATCACTCTTATCACTGTTAATGCAAATATGTTACAGGGTAATGCAAACTAGAGTAAAATATGTTGAGCATACATACTGTGTCTTTTCCATATCACATTATTGCTCTACAGCAGTGGAAGATTATTCTATCCAAATGTTTTTTTTGGTTGTTTTTTTACATCTGTGCCTGTCTGAAGCATACACCACATTTCAATTTTGGCCAATCCTTTTGTGGTATCGATAAATGAAATGAGCCACTCTGCCTGCACCTGTGGAGATGTTGCTTCCCGTGGGTTTTTCCTGTGATTACCTGAAACGTATATACTTCTGCTTTGCAAGTTTTATTGCCAGAATGAAACCCTAACGCTCGTCCTGTGAATGTATTCAAGAGGCAACTGATGTGAGTTTCACCGTTCCTGGAATGAGAAATGAAAAAAAAGAAAAGTGAAATGTTGCTTTAAAATGTCCCACAGCTGCATTTACTAATGACGTTTTTATTTTTACTTTTGTATTAATACAGTTATTTTAATTTTTAGCATATTTAGACCTCAGTTTAAGCACTAACATATAAATATGTTGTTTATATGTGACTTATAACACAAGTTGCAAGTCATAAAAACGCACTGTTAGAAACATGAACTTGTAGCTGCTGAATACCACGAATACAAGATTTATTTAGTATTTCCCTTGTTTCTTGTATAAACACTAAGATTGAAAAGCTTTATGCATGTTTTTAATATTAATTTCACGAACTCAATCATGTTGTTTAAGTTACTGTACCAATCAGCCACGGCTCATCGTCTTGGTTTTAAACTGTGGTGTCCAAATAAAAGTCTCTACGAAATAGTTTTGCAATCTCTCTTTTTATTTACAGAATGAAACACAAGTAGAGCAGCAACTAAACGTTATTATTTATTAATGATTATTCTGCTGAGGTGTTTTTCTGGTGTGCACAGCGTTACAGCTGCACCGCTCCGAGGTGAGTCATCGGTTCAGATGACTGTGATGGATGTCCTGTGTCTCCACGTGAGGGATGAGAGCTGCGTTGTGTTTGTCAGCAGTTCTCACGGTAAACGTGGACGGAGATGAAATAGTCAACCTGCCCTTTTAAAAGAGGCGATTATGCTGATGATCTGCATGTTCGCCTGGATTACGAGACAGTGATTAAACCCAAGGTGGACACAGAGGGGAGGGCACCGCCTCATCCCCCTAAAACACAGACGGCTACAAAAGGCCTCCGCCAGCTGCTACTCTCACCCTAAGACCCGTTGTTGTGTGACTGTGAAAAGGGATAACCTCCGCTTCACAGTAGACCACTTGGGCTGAGCGGTCTGTGCACCAGCTGCAAAAAAAACCTATCCAGCTATTTCACTCAGGTGTCACGAAGAAATGGGTAACTCAACAGGAAGCACCGTGGACGACCTGCAGGCGGTGGAGATGCACCTCTGGTACAAGAAGTTCATGACCGAGTGCCCCTCGGGTCAGCTCACCCTGCACGAGTTCAAGCAGTTCTTCGGGCTGCGAGGGCTGGACCCGGAGGCCAACGCCTACATAGAGCAGATGTTCCGCACCTTTGACATGAACAAGGTAAGATGCTGGGATTTTTTTTTTTTTAACCTACAAAGTTGAATTCAGGAGGGTTTTTATACTTTGACTGCAGAGAGATGAACTTTTTTTAAAGCTGGTGTAGTGGTTCTTATTCAACCGTAAAGAGAGAAAGTCAATGTGAATACAGGTATATTCAGACAGACAGTATGAGAAAAATAAAGGTTTTATTTTAATAAAGCAATAAAAACTAATCTAAACATGTTTTACAAGTAACCTAAAACACAAAAATAAACCTGAAAATGAGCATGACATGTCCACTTTAAATGATTACTTTATAATCACAATGTGGCAAATTATTTATCGACTAATCCCTTGATCAACCAATTGTTTTTGCTCGAAGACAAAACCACTCAAGATCTGCCCCTTGACTTTTGAACAGTTTGTTAAGGCTAGACCTAAAGTTAGGTCAAGAGCAGGAAAGTTCCTAAAACTTTAAACATGCTGCCCAAATTTTAAAAAACATCAGCATCATTCATGTCCACACAAAGCAGTGACCTCCCAGCAACAAGGCCTTCAGATCAGTTTAAATAAGTGTCTCTGAGAAGCTATATTTAGTCCTTCCCCCTTCAGCTCACAAAGGGCATTGGCAATCTTTCTGCATGATTTAAACTGAGAGAGTATCTGTGAGACAACTGCTTTTATGCCAAGATTGTTGTTCAAACAGACCCTGGAGATAATCCTCCATCATGGAACGCTTTATGTCACACAGATATCTTTTTATGGATGGGGGGGGGTCTCTTTCAACCGGGGGTCTGATTTATTAATAATAAGCAGACGGTCATGCATGATAGTTTGTTGATGTTTGACACCGTTTTGACAAGGAACTGCAGGGTGCACATCAGGCCTCATCTGGCCGCTTGTTTTCTGCAGGACGGCTACATCGACTTCTTGGAGTATGTGGCGGCTCTCAGCCTGGTGATGCGGGGAAAGATGGAGCACAAGCTGCGCTGGTATTTCAAACTTTATGATGTAGACGGCAACGGCTGCATCGACCGACACGAGCTCCTCAACATCATAAAGGTGCAGTGACACTGGATTTCTTTTGTCTTGCAGCCTCAACATGGCAAATTGATTTCCCCCCCCCCCCCCAACTCTGTTCCCTGCAGGCCATCCGTGCGATCAATGGGAATGAAAGTCAGGAAACATCCGCTGAGGATTTCACTAACCACGTGTTTGACAGGATTGACATAAATGGAGACGGTGAGTGTGTTCTGGCACTCGTTCGATTCAGGAAGTAATCAATCATGGGTGGACATTGTTCAGATATGCATCAGCTCCAGTGTTGTCTTGAGTCAGGAAACACAGATGAGTAGCAATAACCATCCTTGAACATTTCTTACAAAATTCAACTTTTGCGACATATATTTAATGTCTTTAAAATACAATCTTCCCCATCCGACAGGCGAGCTCTCCTTGGATGAGTTTGTGGCCGGTGCGCGCAGTGATGAAGACTTCATGGAGGTGATGATAAAGAGTCTGGACCTCACCCACATCGTGACGATGATCCACAACAGGAGGCGCAGCGTTTAGTCACTACCTCATCCTCCTTCATGGTTTAACCCGAAGGCCTCAGTGCATCGTGGCCTCTGGTGAAGAGGTCATTTATAGACTGAGATTTCTATTAAGATCGACTATAATTCCAGTGTGCTGCAGACACCGACATGTCCTATGTCTCATCTCTAATACAGGGACACGTGTGCACTTTAAATGCAGCCAACGTTTGCAAACTGGTCTTGTTAATCGATGCTGAGCTCTTCCCAGGCCACCATGGCGCGAGCGATGATCCCTCATCGGTCCACGAGGGATAAAAGAGGGAGATAATGGAGCTGAGTGGATATTATATGCACTCAATGCTTTCCAAATCTTTTCTTTTTTTTCAGCGTCTGAGCCCCTCTGCATCAAAAATACTTAAATCTCTTTTTACCCGTTCTTGTCTGACTCTGAAGTGTGCTTAACATCTTTATGCTAATTTGATTAAGTCAAAGGCTGTAAAATACAGGAACAGGTAAAAGTGTTTCACTAGTGCGCCGATTCTCAAATGTTTACCGTTAAAATAAAAATGTTTTTAACCTTTTTTTTAAGTTTTAAATAACTTTTTTTTTTTTTTTTTTGTGCGTTTGATTGACTGAATGTTTTGCTGCTCTAAATATAGATTTAGATTACTTTTGTTATGTTTGTTCATGTTATGTGTTAAAAGGGAAACAAACTTAACAAAGGCTTTTAACAACAAAAAACAAATATAAAGCGAAATTGCCAATATGGCATTTATTTTATACAAATGCAAATATCTAACATGGACAGTGATAAGAGACAAGAACAAAGAAGCTCATTTATCAGCCACAAGGGGGCAGCGACATAATTGGATTAACATTCCTGTAGCTATTTCCCAACAATAGTCTGAGCTCTTCATTTTGCACGTCTATAAATGTATAAATCCCTCTTTTGTCTTGACGTCACTGGGTGTCTTCTCTCCTGTATTCTCAGCAGGTTCACAGGAAGTCATAAAGGTAATTGACAATTTCAAAATTCACCGTCCTGGAAGATAAAACACACAAAACACGTCCTATTTACTTGAATTATTCTGCTTTCAGTCTCAGTCTTGTGTATTAACATGCACACACACGCACACACACACCTGGAGATGGCGCAGATGAAGTCCATGGAAACGGCACATTTGTACTTTGGGGCATCGAGCTGGTCGTCGTGACTGACCTGAGTCAACAGCTGTAAGGTCACCAGAGAGGATATCTAAATGGAGAATGGAGGGGAAACATGAAATGACTCTCTGCTTCACTTCTTTCAGCACGGCTTCTCCTCACTAAATGATCGAGATACGGGTTGAGCCTAATTTCCTAAAACCATTTCATGCTCATGGCCCATAAATAGATCGGCATTTGGCCGCGGATCCCGAAACTCATGACCATATGGGTAGAAAACTCATCTGAGACGCCGTGGTCATTAGGCTTGATTTAACATGAAAGAATGTGTTATTTGCACCTAGAAATGAGAAAAAAACGAATTTAAAATCCTCTGATTATTATACTGTTCATGCACATGGGGGGAAAAAGCGTGAAATTAAATAATTTTCTTTATAGACCCATGAGACTTCCTACAGCTAACCTCGGGAGTCACAATCATGGAGAAAGATTACAAGCACTGCAGGACTAAATAAAGGGCTAAATTAAACCACTATAGAGCTCAGTTTAACGAGAAGCATGTCTACAGACAGTTAAGGAGGTTCATTTAACTACTATATTTTTTTTATGGGTACTTTTAGTGTTCTGCTGACAGACACATCTTTATTTGACGAAAAAGTTCTGTCAAAGGAATCTGAAGAGCTTCTTTTTTGCGAGTTAACTGTATCTGTGCACCGCTATCTGAATGTTTAGTGAAATAGGGAACAACATTATGTAAATGTGAAGGGACTGAATGTGACCGAAGCAGCCAACCGACCAACTGACCTGGGAGAAGATGCTGGCAGTGGGGGCGACTCTGCTGTCCACCACGCTGTAGAAAATGGCGAGCAGGCGGTCCAGAGGGAACGGCTTTGGCCCCAGAAGATGGTTACTTGTCTAGGAAATACATTGAGAGAATATGTTATATTAACAGGCTGAATCTGAGACTTGAGATTAAATGTGACCAGTTAAGATGATTACCTTTTCATTTTTCTTTAAGAAATTTGTTTTTTTTATTTTACCGTGGTGCTGTTGGGAGGAAACAGAGGGACACAAACAAAAACACTTATTTGTATGAATCATAAAATACCAAATTGCCTTAAAGTGCTTCACAATCTGTACAACATGCAACATTCTCTATCCTTAGATTGAGATGTGGTGTAAAATCCTATAAGATAAAATGATTTTACCTTTAGAAAGAAGCGCTTATCCGTGCGGGCCGGGTTGTAGGATGCCAGGTAGGCAGCAATCAACAGGAACTTGGAGTAATAAGGCAGCTCAACATGAGTGTGAGCAGATAAACCTGAGGGGAAATAAATGCAATGAGTCTGGAAAACTAAACATACTTTCAAACAGTACATCAGATGTTCAGTGCAACCTAAGATCTGGATTGTTTTCAGCGTGATGCATTGATGTGCTGTTAAGAAAATACATTTTTTTCGCATGAATCCAGGGTGTCACTGCACCCCATCAACGCTTTTCCAGTTTAACATCTGCTCTGCAGTCGCGTGACGTCATTAAGTGCAACAGTGCTCAGTGTGTGTTGGTACCTCTCATGGCTCCGTTCTCCTTCTCCTCCATTTGCTGCATCTGCTCCCACTGAAGGCTGAACACAGAGAAAAAGACATAATGACGAAAATGAACCACAGCATCGGTTCACCGGAAGGCGGCAAACAAGCAGAATTGCTAAGACGAGTCGTTACGTCAACAGTGACGTGGTTCACAGACCTGGACACCTCTCGCAGGTAAACAGTCTGCATGGCTTTCTTCAAATGAGGCTCCATGTTTCTCCACAGCTTGTGTGTGTCGGTCTCTTTCACTGAAGACACAAAACAGAGCAGCATTGGTGTAAAAGCCACATTTATACTGCATGCGATCAGTTCAGGTTTGCTTGGAAAGAGAAAGGGATGTAATCAGGAAGGCGAGGAAATCAAATAATAAGGTGTTAATGCGAAAGGTGTAGAGGAGGATGTCATAGCGGCGAAAGATCTAGATATTTCTGTCACACAAGAGCCAGAGGGGGAACAAAACAGAGCTACAAGAGGAGCGATTCTTCACCTTGAGCTCCGATTATACGTCTACAGTGTAGCTGACATGCACCTCCTAAAACATGCAACTACAACATAGGGCTGCACCAACTTTCTTTTCCTACACTTAAAGCTTCTATTGAGGTTTTCCAATGAAGCTTTGAAAGTAATTCGTCCTATTTCATTACATCATCACCCCAAGAAAATAATAGATTGTTTTTGTGGTTACATAAATGTAATTTATGGTGCCGTTAGACTGCTGCTAGATTGCACGCGTCTCTTTGTGCGCCGACAGCAGGACAGCAAACTGTTGTTTTTGAAAGACGAAGCATCAACAAATATGGATTGAAGCAAAAATATTTTGCTCGATAAAAAACATGTGCATTGTGGAAATAATTACCTCCATCTTCTTTTCAATAAATTTTGACTTTTGTACTCGACAACGCTGTCTGGAGTTATTGGAAATGTCTGGACCGGACAATCCTACGCAGTCACCACTGGAATCTCAATTCTACAAATAGTGTCTCTGCAACTGTGCAGAAGTACCGGGTTTAAAAACAACGAACAGACAGACAAAAAGAGATGCGAGGCGTTTGAACGTCGATTTAGAATTTGAGTGTCAACATTATGAACGAAGCTTCGAACTAGTCGGTACAGCCCTAACACAGTGGCGACGGAAACACAAGAACCATATATGTTTCGCTATATGCGTGTGTGCACAGCAACTTTCTATGGTGATAATATGTTTACAGCTTGTTCTGCTTCCCCCACAGGTTGGTGCAGCTTTGAAGAAATAAATATGGAAAAGTTCAATAGCTTAAGTGGCATCAACGTGATAGAAAGATCCCTCAAATGAACACAAACAAAAGGGTAAAAATAAGGTATCTTTAAATATTGATCAGCTGTCAGATGAATGACTACAACTCTTTATGCTTTACCTTTTCCTTCTGCTAACGGCTCGCAGAACTTTGAAAAGTTGAGGGCAGCCTAGTTGAAAAGAGAAGATGAAGACATCAATGATGCGAGACTGAAAGAAAATCAAAACAATTAAAAATCTGTGCGTGTGTGTGTGTGTGTCTGACCAGGTGGCGCAGCTCTCTGAGGTCCCGACAGACAGAGTAAAAGACTCCCAGCAGGATGTTGATGTAGGACGAGTAAAACTCGGCAGAATGTGAAGGATGTTTGTCCCGGGACAAAATCTGCTGCAGCTCACCTTCAAAGACGTGAACAGACAGAGACACACACACACAAAACAAACCTCCGTCACTATACTCGCACGAAAACAGAGATTATTATAAAAAGAAATATGTCTTCTCACATATCAAGTACAATCACTCACTCCCTCTAAAGTGCTGAATTCATACAGCGGTGTTTCTATAATGCAATATTCCGCCACAGTCGCTGCCTTAAGTGTTGGAACAAACTCGCAGGTACAAATCTCACATCTCACACTGCATCCGCCAAGCGTGTGTCATCATTATGCAGTGTGGTGGCAGTGTATTCATGACACTGGCGGATGTAGCATGTGTGTGTGTGTGTGTGTGTGTGAATGATTATACCTTTACTGTAGTCTGGGAAATGGAGCAGAAGGGGCTCGAAACAGCCGGTGTTTGGTCTGAACTTGTCCCAGACGATTTCAGTGAGAAGGATGACGGTAACGTTGTCCTCAACCTGAGAAGGACACATTAGTAGAAACACACATATATATATAAACATGTAGTAGAAACACATATATAGAAACATGCAACAGCGACTAAATATCACAAACTTTTATCTTTTTATAGCAAAGATCCAAAAAGGTGCAGCCAGAGATGTTTATACCAAACTTTCTCACAAATGAAAATGTATGAACAAGCTACAAAGTACAGACAATAACTGAAAAGGTAATATAGTATATACACGTATCATTTCGACTCATTTTAGTGCGACTGATATTCCTCATGTTACCTTAAATTAAAAAACACAAATCGCTTGCTGCTCGTTCTCACCAGTTCCTGAAGACGCAGCAGCGCAGGGAGGAGATTGGCATCGGCGTCTCTCAGAAGCTCGGCTTTTTCCATCACCTAAAGAATATGTACGTCTACATTTGAGCTTATTTTGCAACATCCATATTCAATAAACTAGAGGTTGTGAATGGCGGTTTTTAATCACGGCACATTACTGTTTTATATGATGCAAGCTCACTTTTAAAATATCATAAAATGATGAAGCCAAAAGACAAAAACATCACACTAGTTCTCTCAAAGCTAACGCATTTAGATCATACATTCTACATCACTACTAATCATATTATCGTGCAAACATTTAAGTGACACATCCAAAGAATAAATAGTTTGACGTGTCACGGATTAGATTTTGGGCGTAAAGTGCACGACACTCACGATGTAGCGCGTCTGCTTGGCGGGAGACTGGGAGCACTGCTGTCTGTAGACGCGTACGAAGTCGGACAGGGAGGGACTGCGGGGGAGCAGCGAGGCGGCGTCGCCGCCAAAGAAGGACAGCAGGACTTGTTCAAACAGCAGCGCAACAGAAACGCATTCGACACAGCTGACTGTGGCGTGAGGCAGCTGCAGAGAGGAGGAGGAGGAGGAGGAGGGACAATCAGTTTCATATCTTCACATTGTGTTGGTTCTCTCCTTTGGTTTTGCTGCAAACTGAGCAATCACAACCTGTCATCAATGAAATGCTGTAATTTGGTGTTTCAGAAGAGCAGCGGCAATTAGCCCACTTAATCTATTGAAAAACAAACTTAATTGGCACCTATTTTGGTAATCAATTAATCATTTCAGTAATTTTTTAAACCAAAAATGCGAAAATCTTTGCCGATTCCAGCTTCTCAAATGAAAAAACGTCATGCTTTTTTTTGTCTTAACTAAATATCCCAATGTTTTGGACTGTTGATTGGTCAAAAGAAGCAGTTTGAAGACCTCCGAGCTGCTATTTTATTTTACATTTTAAAGAAAATAATCTGCAGATTAATCGACAATGAAACAGTTATTTGCAGCCTTGCTTGGTTATTTTGTTGTCCACATTGTGAAAACTCTTTGATGAGGACAAACAGCATGTTTGAGAAGATATAAAGAGGCGATGCTAACTGCAGTCGGCAGGAAAGACGTCGCTGCACTCATTATCGGTGGCTGGTTCTTGTCTATATAGCGGCTCCCTGAGGGGTAAAAGCTCAAAGTGTGGGTGCAAAGGGTGGGAAGGAATCTAAATCAAACACCTCGTGATTCTGCACATACATTTTGAATCAAGAAGGGAAACACACGCCTACGCACACAAAGATTTGTGTGCACTGAGAAATGAGATTTTTCTGAAGTACAATAAAATGTGTTGAGGGAACTGAATTTTTCGGCACTTTCAATAAAATGTAATATTTCCAATTTCTTTCAGCAGTCTGAAGGAGGCTTGTGTTGTTGCAGCGTTTGTTTAAGGTTTACGCAGCATCAGCTCAAACCTGATGAACACTTTGTCCCCTAACAAATGTTTCGGACCCCCTAAACCGCACAAACAAACACCATTCAGCCCCAGAGTTCCCTGAACTTTAATATCTCTCTCACCTCAAGTTCCTTCAGCAAAACATGCATCACGTGACTCTTCCCTGAAGACCGATGACCGTAGATGAAGACTGACGGGTAGCTGTACTGGTGTGGCTGAAAGAACAAGATTCAGTACATTTGTACCCAATAGAATTGTGACATTTCATTATGATCAATACGGTTCCGTACCTGTCCCATGAGCGACAGCAGCATGCCCGCCTGGAGCTCTCTGCAGGGCAGCTGCTCCGAGAGCCTCTGCAGCCTCTCCTCCTCATATCCTGGATGTTGTAACAGCGCTGACATCCCGATCTTCGCAAAAACAAGGAATATTGTAAGAAGTTATTCACTGTGAACACGACAGGACACTATGGAAATACATATGCATAACAATCGAATGTGGATCAAACTTAAAACGCGGTGAAAAGCTAAAAGTTAAAATGTTGAAAACGCAAATAAACAGTCGAGCACACTCACAGGAGTTTCGCGCGCGCCTTCAGATTACGTCAAATGACGGCTTCCGTTTACTAGCCAATCACAAACCACGCAAAGAATCATGGGTAATGGAGTTTATGGCTCTAAAACTCGGTAGTCGTGAAATAAAGGGACAGAAGATGCTTTTATATACTTTAAGTCTTTAACTTAGTAAAGTGTCATATTATTTTATAATTCCATGACAGCTAGATAGATAGTGTGATGTGATGATACAGCTTCAGAATAGCTCTAATAGGACATTTACAACGTTATAATTAAGCAAGTTAATGCTTTGCTTTATTTAATTGAGCGTGCATAAAACTGGAGAGAATATTAATACAGTTCTCACATGATAAAATATATTTTAACCTATATTTTGCAGGGTAGGCTAAACCTAAAACTGCATAAATGTATATGCAACATCTGGAAATAATATTCATAGTCTTCTCATTGGAAGCCAACGCCAATCCATTTAGTGCTACAGACATTGTATGTTTGTTGTATTCTTATTCGTATTATTCTGTTGTATTGTTGTTTTTTTAATTTGTGCATTTGTCCATACCTCGCTCATACAATTGGGGTTTAAATGTGATGCAGCTGTAGCGTGGTAGGAGCATTACATGTAGGACTATTAGCTGCAGTCGCCTACACTGTGGTTGTTCTCTATTGTGTCTGTTTAAGATTTCGCGCGTGTGACTGGAATAATGCGTCAGACTGGGATTAAGGGATGTGGGCTGGCCCTGCGATATCCAAGGCTATCCTCCTCCTCCTCTAATTCACTACAGGGTCTCAGCTGCGGTTGTTGGTCTGCCGGCGTCGAGCACAGACGCACCATTTCAGCGAGATCTCGCTCAGTGAATCACAGAGCTGAACCCGTTCGTCGGAATAACAGTCTCTGTTTTTGGACTCGAGTCAGGCAGCGACATTTTTAGATACAGATGAGGACAAATGAGGGAAGATGGATTTCTAAAGCTCGCTTTTTTTTTTCGCCCGGAGCTTCACGTTTCGTTATTGCGAGAGTGATGAATGAACATGAATACGAGAGTGCAGTGATGCTGTGAGAACAGCTGTGACTGAATAAAGTCGTGAAAAAAAATCTAATAAAATCCGAAAACAGCGACAAGTTCTGCAGAACACTGTGCTTTGTTGCCTTTTTACGGATCAGATGCGGCAGATGTTAGTTTGCTGAGCACAGGTTCATTGATCCTGAGGACCGACCGGACCCCCCTTCACACAGACCGGAGGATGATCCCCGGGGCCCCCGGCACGACCACCACCATGCTCCCCGCCTCCGAGGCTGCCAAAATCTACCAGACCAACTACGTGCGCAACTCCCGCGCCATCGGCGTCCTGTGGGCCATCTTCACCATCCTCTTCGCCATCGTCAATGTGGTGTGCTTCATCCAGCCGTACTGGATCGGAGACGGCATGGACACCCCGCAGGCGGGCTACTTCGGTCTGTTCCACTACTGCATCGGGAACGGGCTGTCCCGGGACTTGACCTGTCAGGGCAGCTTCACCGAGTTCAGCACCATCCCGTCCGGTGCGTTCAAGGCCGCCTCCTTCTTCATCGGCATGTCCATGGTGCTGGTCATCTCCTGCATCGGCTGCTTCGGGCTCTTCTTCTTCTGCAGCACCGGCACCGTGTATAAGATCTGCGGCTGGATGCAGCTGGCTGCAGGTAGGAGACTCTGCTCTGACTACAGGCTGTGTAGTTTCATAAGACACTTCAGTGTGTCAGAGTGTGTGGGGCGCTCCAATGAGATTCAATCCACAAGAAATGCTGGTCCACAATCAGAGGGTTTGCCCCCATCTCCTCATAAAGTTTGATATAAAAACAGTTCAACATTCACACAGACTGCTCATAAAAATCCAGATGTTCTCCTGTTTTTGTTCAGGTCATAAGCAGGTCATCGAGATCTGTAAACATCACTTGCAGCTCAAATGAGTATAGTTTAATTTACTGGAAATTGTTCACAATCACATGTTTTACCATCAACAGATTGTAAAATTATCAAAATGCACACAGCTTTAAGGGTTACACGTTTTCCTGCTTTTTCAGGTTGAGGACTCCAATAGATTGTCCACAGCCCTATTTCATTATTTTGTCAATTTTATAGCATTGATGTGGTTATCAAAGCCCTATAAAGCATTATGTAACTGTCTTAAGTGTAGGTGGAGTGCAGTCTTGGGGAACAGTGTGCTGAGTTAAATAATGAAAAGATACAAGCATCTTTTACAATCTTTTAAAAATGATACCTGCAGGTCAGAAGTGGACTTTGAGATTACCCATAATACACAGAGAGTGATGTAAATGTTTGATTTCCTTAAATGAACAAAAATGTATTTTCAGAATGTTTTTCATCCCAAAGCTTGAATATTCAGAGACGATTAAATCCCTTAAATGCAAAATATTCCAAAGTACATCCATATTTTTGTCATATTTGTGTGGTAAACAACTTGGCTGTCAGTATAAAAGCTTAATAAACTCTCACCTAACAGGTAAGTCCTCAGTTGTTTTTTTAGGGTTTACATTGTGCGTGCCTTTCAACTGCAGCTTCAATTGGAAATATGCAAATTGTTTTTTCTCTGAATGAGAAAGGGTCTCTCTAACATCTTCAAACCCACCGTGCACATTAAATGAAAATGAAAAACACATGTAAGAGTAAATGAGAAAAGAAGTTCAAAGGAGCAGGGACATGTAAGTGACTGACTAAACTGCTTCTTTATACCTTTAATTATTTTTAGTCAAATTTCCAGCATCCTCTCTGAAGCAGACAGAGAAGATCTTGATTTCCTTCCAAAAATGATATTTTCAAATGACTGAGCTTTATATCTCAGCCAAGAGTTTCAGTACACACGGGAGAAGGACAAGTAATTATCAACTTTAACAACTTTCCTCCTAAATCTTTACTTTTGATAGATTGGATCTACAGAGCAACAGAACCAGAGGTTTATTTTAGGATTTTAGAAATATTGAATGTAATAATAAAGAATAATAAACACACAAAGAACATTTTGATGAAAAAGTAAATCAATTTTTTCGCATATAGTCTACCAAGATTTCATATAAAAATCATCATCCTATTTAATATACTAGACCACACATGAACACAAACTCAGTTACATAATCATCACATATATCTGCACATACACACTTCTTATAGGCGAACACACTCAAAACCTAACGATACTACTACTACGATAATACTCTACAACGCATCAATTACTGTATACATGTTGAAAACGTGACCTCTTCAACTTGACATTTCTCCTCTTATTGTGCATATTCCCAGGCTTTTGATGATGTTTGCATTTAACACCAATTTGCCCTTTTCTGCCTGTTTAATCATCACTTTTAAAGAGTTCTCCACCAATTTAGTGTTAGGGTTACACTCCTATGACATTGTCAAAAAATGATGCAGCAGAAGCAGAGATATGGCCTTTTATTTTCCACTCATTCGTCGTGCTCTTCAAAACCTGGCGCCTTCATTACCCACAATGCAACTCCACTACAGACAGTTCTATCAGAGATTTGGCTGTTAGCCCCAAGCAGAGATGTGGAGGCAAAACATTTTAAAAGTCTTTTGATATTCATGCGCCAGAAGTTTTAAATCTGCTGTTGTTGCGATTGTTGTGTCATTCAAATTACCTTGACTCAACACTTGGTGGGGAGATGGTGGACTTTTTAATATGCTGTGAAAAATAAGCATTTTTAATAGACACAACAGATCAAGTGTGTAAATGAAGGAACTGTAATTCAAGCCAAAAACAACAGATTTGATGTTATTCCTCTGATGAGTGCCATCACACCAATTTACACCCAGAGAAACATATGACTTTTTGAGCATAATTTAAGGTTCATAATCCTCATATAAATCGAATTTGTGTGTATAGCTAATATCCCATCATCACACTGTGCATCTTCACGGATGCCTGCTTGTAAAACACAGCTTGTTCTCAAATGGGAATTTAATGTCACAGCCCATAATAATCACATTCATAGAGAGCGCGCTTCTATTTTTGCCTACAGAAACACACAGCGGGCTAAATATCCTTTCTGATTTAGGGTGAACATGTGTCCCAAAGTCCGCTCATCACCAGTTTTAGCAATAAACAGCAACCACAGACCGCAATCGAATTACTCGCTGCACAAGCCATTGATTAGATATGGAGGTTAGTAGGGCCATTGGCCAGATGTGAGGCTATTTATTAGCAAATAAAACCCCTCTGTTGCTAATATATATATAAAATATATAACTCTAGCAGCTGTGAGTTGGATTATCTTGGAGCGACTGCACTGTGATGAGCTCCATCAGAATCCTAATGAGTGGCACATCCTGGCAGTTTGAGTTTTTGCAGTTTTTTTTTTTTAATCACAGATCAAAGCTGCTTCTTATTCCTCTTGAGTCACATGCTGGCTTTCTCTAGGTTTTTTCTCATCAAGTCAGAGGAGCAGATGTGACCGTAACACATTCAGGTTAGAGAGCTAAATCAGATTTTCATCGCTGGTGGTTTCTGTGAATGTGGTTTGCAGTGGTGGAGAGTGCATTTGCTCAAGTACTGCGCTCAATACTCTTCAGAGGGAAATATTGAACTCTTTACTCCACAGCAGCTGTTGGTGGTGGTTACGTTTCAGAAAAGATTTAAAAACATATGACGAGGGGTGCAAGTAATGATCATTTTCATTATTGACTATCTGTTGATTATTTTCTTACTTAAACGATAAATCATTTGGTCCACAAGTTGCCTTAAAACGATAAAAATGTCACAAATTCCAAAAGCCCAAATATGACATATTGAAATTGCTGTATTGTCTGACCAACGGTCCAAAACACAAACATATTTGGCTTAATATCAGTATTAATAATCTAATGATATTAGCCACTGGGGCCTTTTTTGTGTGAAAAACAAGTATTTGATACTTTAATGATACTTTAAGTACATTTTGCAGCTAATACTTCTGGACTTTTACCAAGAAAGAATAATCATTTTTGATAATCTCTAAAGCCCCAATCAGTATCACTCTGCCTGTCTCATCTCGTCTCTCATTCTCGAAGAGGCCGCTGTGAAATCTGCCATTTAAAGGTCTTTTAGACAGCTTAAATAGCCAATATCGAGGTGCTTCTTCTCTCTAAGACGTCTGAAATCCCGACGTGATTGTAAAAAAATCCTCCCTGTCAGATGTCATTTCAGGTGGTATGAAGATGCTGTGATCTGCTATCAAAGGCAGCACACACAGCTCAGAGGCAGCCCTCTTCTCCAACGATGGGCTGTCCTGAATATTTGATGAGTTTTAGAAATATAGATAAGAATAATGATCATCGCTGTAATGATGTAGCCGTTTCTTTGCCTCTTTGCAGATGTGGGGAAAAAACACAGTCTGTCTTGATGCTCTGTTTTTTAGTTTGCACAAATCTTTTACATAACTTTGAACAGTCGTTGGCAGGCACACTGGCATCCGGCATAAGCAGAGATACAACTTTTACGTCTCTCTCTTCTGTTTCTCTTCTATACTTTTCTGCATTAACACCACCAGCTGAATTTCCAAACCATTCATGACCAAAACCAGATGGCCAGTCCACTGTGGCTCTTATGGAAGTACTTCCTTTTGTTTTGGACCTCCATGTTGGTTACTGCACACCAGTCCACCAGGGATGAAACCTATTTTTTGAAAGCTGAAATCAGACCTGTGGTATCATCTACAAAGTTAAACAACATGCATGAAAATGATGTGAGTCATAAGTTGCGGCGTTTGCAGTCAAATAAACCTCAACCTAATTGAACTATGGGAGATTTATTCATCAAATGAGGGAATATCTTTTGAAAAACTGTTTCATCCCCTCAGAGACGAGTGGAATCTATGCCAAGGAGCATTGAAACTGTTTTAAGCTTGTGTTAGCACCACTAAGACATTTAATCTCGATTTTTCATTTCATTTCTTTCACACTTAATGTGTGAATTAGAGAGCTATTACAAAAAAAAAGCAATCTGGAGAACGGCAACTGTATTCTCCACACCCTAATGACATTTAGGTTATTAATGGCTCGTTATTTATATATGTATATACTGTATATATAGTCATAGATATGTGATTTATTTGCCACTAATAAATCACTCATTTATGACTTATAAACCCTTTTTAAAAGCTCACTAAGTGCCAGTGATAATGAAAACAGGAGGCATGTTGGTGCTCAATAACCTGGATGGCCTCCAGAGCCGTGATGGCCATCTGGATCTCTCAAACACAAACATTACCAGTGTGGAAGGCACAGCTGCACATTTTCTGTGGGTGTAAATCCGGGGTGTCAGAGGTGGGTCCAATTCCCAGCTGCCTGACCGGCAGCTTCCTGTGGGCAGTAAGTGAAGTTCCTCACGGGGATCTAAGTGGTCTCGCATTCGGAGCCAAAACTAGAAAGTCCATTTGGTTGCTGGAGGTTCATTGATCCAAGCGTTGACTTCCAGAATATCAGGAAGAAGCGCTCCAACAGGGGACAGCTGCTTGTGCAGTAGTTCAGTGGTGTGTCGTTGTTACGCTGCTAGAGCATGATAACACAGTTTGATAATAAAAGCGCCTGACTGACTGATAGTATTATATTATATGAACTGTTGGCGCATCGTGCGGTATTCAATTTTACACCTCTTCAGAAAGATGTCAAGTGGAACCGGGACGTCCTGCTTATCGCCGTCACATT